TTATACAGCTATCACCAGTTTCCATTTCCAGAATGATTTTGTCGTTCCAAACAGAAATCCTGCAGCCATTAACAATAGCATCCTAGTCCGTTCTTACCCAGTCCCTGGTAACCCATGGTCTACTGTCTCTGAATTTGCCTGTTCTGGGTACCTCATATAAGCAAATGCATACAATATTTGTTCTTTTGTGACTGGCTTATTTCAATAGCATAATTTTTAAAGATTCATCCATGTTGTAGCATGTGTCAGAATTTACTTCTTAAGGCTGAAAATACTTCATTATATATATGAGAGGTCTTCAAAAAGTTCATGGAAAATGCATACTATGAAAAAAAGCATGGACGTCAACATTTTTTTCACCAAAATAAATTTGTACTAACTTGTTCTAACGTGTCTGAACAGGATCTAGTTTGAGGCACTAAAAGGATAAGTGCAACACGAATTCTCCAATTGAAACAACAAACATCAAATTTATGGTGAAGCTTGGGTGGAGGAAGAGTGAGATCATTGTTGCTGTATAAAAAGTTTATGGAAACAGTGCTCCAAAGAAAGCAGTTTGCAAGTGGATAACTTGTTTCATGAAGGAATGAGATGATGTTGAAGATAAAGCCCATAGCAGCAGCCCTACTACATCAATTTGTGAGGAAAAAAATTAATCTTGTTCATGCCCTAATCGAAGAGGACCAACAACAGCAGAAATAATAGCCAACACAAAATAATTTCAATTGATTCAGCTTAAACAGTTCTGACTGAAAAAGTTGAGCAAATTCTTCACTCAATGGGTGCCAAACCTGTTGCACTGAGATCAGCTACAGATAGGAGCAGAGCTTTCAATGCAAATTGTAGACAAGCAAGATAAAGACCCTGAAGCATTTCTTCAAAGAACTGTAACTTCATATGAAACATGGCTTTACCAGTATGATCCTGAAGACAAAGCACAGTGAAAAGCAAGAGGTAGAAGTGGTCCAGTCAAAAGTAGACCAGTCAAGAGCAAAGGCCATGGCAACAGTTGTTGTTGTTGTTTTTGATGCTCTAGGCATTTAGCTTGCTGGCTTTCTGGAAGGCCAAAGAATCGCAACATCATCTTATTTTGACTGTTTGAGAAAGCCAAAACTTTAGTAGGAAAACGCTTGGGAAAAGTTCACCAGAGTCCCTCACCACCACAGTGCTCTGCTCATTCCTCTCATCAAACAAGGGTGATTTTGCTAGAGTTTTGCCTAAATCACTAGGCATCCACGTTACAGTCCTGATTTGGCCCATTCTAACTTGTTTTTTGTTTCCTAGTCTTACTTTTCTCCAGTTAATAATGTAAGATCACATTGACATGTTTATATTCCTACGATCCTCAGTTCTTAAGGGATGGACTAAATGGCTGTTACCATAGCTTACAAATGTTTCATGATCTTGAAGGAACTTAAGTTGAGAAATGAAGTTTACATTTTTTATTTTCATCTTAATTTTATTTTTCCATGAACTTTTGGAGCCCCCTCATTCAGTTTATATACTACATCTTATCCCGTCACTGGAAGGTGGAACTTGGGTTGCTCCCCACTTTTGGCTTTTGTGAATAATGCTTTTATGAACATGGGTATACATGTCTCTTTGAGTACCTGTTTTAGTTATTTTGGGTATATACCCAGAAATGGAACTGCTGGATCATATATTCTATGCTTAATTTTTGAGGAACCTCCATGGTGTTTCCCACAGTGGCTGCACCATTTTATATTCTAAGAGTGTGCAAAAGTTCCAATTCTTGCACATCCTCACCAGCACTTGTAATTTTGTCTATAATAGCCATTCTAGTAGATTCGAGGTGGAATCTCACTTTGGATTTGATTTCCATTTTTCTAATGATTAGTGATGTTGAATATCCTTTCATGTGCTTATTGGACATTTGTAATCTTTAGAGTAATGTCCATGTTTATGTATATTTTTCCCATTCTGTAGATTGGCTTTTTGTTGTTGATTGTGTCCTTTGATACACAGAAGTTAATTTTTTAGGAAGTCCATTTTATCTGATTTTTCTCATTTCCTGTGCTTTTGGTGTTGTATTAAAAAAAATCGGCAAAATCCAGTGTTCTGAAGCTTTTTCCCTATGTTTTCTTCTAAGAATTGTATGGTTTCACCTGGAAGAGAATTTTAATTTAAGAATTTCTTTTGTGACAGACTGTGCCAAATTCCTTCACATCTTATGCGGTATCCAGCTCGAGCCATAAAGGTTTTCTTGGCAGGGTTTAAACCTCCCTTAAGGGATCTACGGGAGACAAGAATACCATATTGTCCCAAATGGAGCATGGAGGCACTATGGGCTATGATAGACTGTCTTCAAGGAAGACAGCTTTATGCTGCATCCATGGTAAGTGCCTCAACTAGCCAAAATTATTTTAAAGCTGTTTCTGTGTCCCTACTAACTTTTATAAAGTGTTTGTGTCTATGCAACTCTACATGCAATAGTATACTCAAGCATATCAAGCTATATATATGGGCTTAAGGCTTGTTAAAATGTCTTAGCTTAAATTTAACAAACTGCTTGCCCCTATGGTGATATAGAATATTTATGTAATTAATAAACTGCTTAAGATGAATATCCCATAATTAGCTTATAATGGCAAAAAATATGCAATTAGTGTGAAGCTGAATGAAATAAGTACTATAACAGAGGAATAGCTAACTTTGCGGGTGGGGACAGTGTAAGAAGAAATGATTATTTGTATTTAGAGAGATCAGGAAAGGGTGTTTGAGCTGCTACTTAGAAGCCACTCAAGTACTTAATCGACCAAGTAAAACAGGAATGTGGCATTTCACCAGCATCCTAAAAGATGAGTGGGAAAGAACAGTAGTTCTGGTCATTATAGAAAGGCTTGAATTACTCTAATTGTACTAATCTCATAATTGTACCACTTTTGAATTCATATAGTAGAACCTGCATCAAAAGGTCAAATAAAAAGTCCAGACTGTGTTTAATATGTTTTCTTCTTCTGAGGCTGAGCATATCATAGTAGCCCACAGCAGAATCTGGCCTGTACCTTGTTTTATTTAGCACACAGTGTTTTAAAGTTGGAAATTCTACCCAAAAAATCTGTATTTCTGGCTCTGGTTAGATATTCTAAAAACTAGGAATCCTGTGTCTCCCCATCCCCCTGAAATGGCGGTCAGCTAAAAGTGTAGCCACAGCCCCTTAGATGGAAATGTGTGATGTTCTGTTCACCTAGTGCTCACTGCTGGTGTGCAGCTCAGCCTGCTTCCTTCCTTTGTGACTCCTGCCTGGTGCCATGATGTGGGGACTCCTAACATACTGGCTATGACAAAACTGAGCTCATAGCATGATTACTAGAAAGTGCTTTTTGAAAACCCTGTACATACGCTATTGCATGTGCAGAGTTGTATGAATAGCTCATAGAGAATTTTGTCTCAAGCCAGTGAAAATAGGGCAAGTATTTCTTATAGACAAGTGTTTTTTCACTTCTCTAATATTCAAAATTTGGTCAGTATATAAGGATTCCCCAGCTAATCAGAACTATAGGATATATGAAAGGACTTATTAAGGAAATTGGGTCACACAGTCAGAGGTGAAGCCCTATGATAGGCTGTCTACAAGCTGGAGAACCAGAGAAGCTGGTAGCATGGCTCAGTCTGGAGGCCTCAAAACTAGGGAAGCTGTCAAAAATGCAGCCTCTAGTCCAAGGCCAAAGAACCCCTGGGAGCTTAATGGTGCAAGTCCTGCAGTCCAGCAGCCAAAGAATCTGGAGGATGATGTGTGAAGGTAGGTGGAGAAAAGGTGTCTGCCACCCAGGAAGGAAAGGAGAAAAGAGAACTTACCCTTTCTGCCTGTCTGTTGACATAGAGAGTGGGTCTTCCTCTCTGTCTACTAATTGAGCATCAGTTACCTCTGAAAACACCCTCCCAGACACACCTGGAAATGCTTCACCAGCCATTGAGGCATCCCTCAGTCCAGCCAAGTTAACAACTAATATTAACCATCACAGTCATTTTATGCATAAATGTATAATGCTTTGTGTGGAATGCAAATGAACTGTAACAAGGGATGGTGGTAGCTTCATTTGGGAAAACTGCAGGAGAAGAAATTTAAATAGAGCAGAAGAATGGAAAGAATGGGATTTTGCAGGAAACCACTACAGATGCCTTTTGGAACCACAGAGTATAAATTATCAATAGACCCCTGAGAACGCCTTTTCCCACCTGTGTGAATGGCCAGATATGAGAGGGAAAAGGCCCCAAAGACATTATTGTTTCTTGACAACTTTATCTTTCAATTTTAGGCTCCAGCACCAGAACAAATAGTGACATTATATGACAATGAGCAGCATCCAGTTCATATGCCATTAGTAGAAATGGGGCTTGCAGATAAAGATGAATAAGTGCGTTAAGTGTAAGTTTTCATTCTCTTTATAGCATAAGGCATGGGGACCAGTGGCGATTAATGCTAGATTGATCAGAAAAGCACCCAATTTTCCTTGATGTCTCAAAGAAATGATAGCAACACTCCAAAAGAATCTCTTTCAGATTTCTTCATAGACCCTTCTCACTTATTGAGCACTAGGTATCAAAGAGGTCCCCTATCTGTAAGGAAGCTTGGATGGCTGTCATGACTCTCACAGTACTGGGTACATGGGGAGAGCAGGAGAGAGTGGGCACTGTAAATAATTTAAGCACATAAATATCTGCTAAGCACACAGAACTTCTGAACAGTCAGCATCCTCATACCAAGTTATTAAAGTACATGCTAACCAGCTAACTTTTTATCTTGTCCATAAGAAGTGATTCAGCTAGTAGACTTGAACATTTACATTAAGCAGAGATTTAAAATAACACATTTTGTTTTTCAGGTATACAGTGAAGATAATCTATAGAAGCCTAGAAGGAAGTTTTCTGTTATATTTAGACCTGAAATTGTTTTCCTAATTTGTTGTGCAATAGTGCTTTAACTCTCCTTATTTTTACATATAGGAATTGTAATGGGTAAAAATAGTTAATAAATGTTTGCTTCCCAACATTTGCTTTATTTTGCCATAATTTCAAAATGAAATAGCAAAGACATATGGAAAAAAATTAGTTCATTTTATACTTAATGATTCAGCTTAAAAAGACATCATCAGTACAAAAAGGCTTCTCCCAGGCATTCCCCCGCCTTCTGTAGAAGTGTATTAGTCTGTTCTCACACTGCTATAAAGAAGTGCCAGAGACTGGGCAATTTAGAAAGAGGTTTAATTGACTCACAGTTCCACATGGCTGGGAAGGCCTCAGGAAACTTACAAACATGGCAGAAGGCGAAGGGGGAGAGCAACCCCTTCTTCATAAAGTGGCAGGAGGGAGAAATGCAAAGCAAATGGGGGAATCACACCTTATAAAACCACCAGATCTTGTGAGAACTCACTATCATGAAAACAGCCTGGGGAAACCACCTCCCACGAGGTCCCTCTCCCAACACATGGGGATTACAACTAGAGATTTGGGGTGGGGACACAGCCAAACCATATCAAGAGGTAAACACTACTGTTGTGATTTGACATTTATCGTTCATATAAAGGTCTTTATAATTTTATTACGTATGAATGCATCCATAAATGATATGGCAATTTAGAAAGAGGTTTAATTGACTCACAGTTCCACATGGCTGTTTATATGCCATTAGTAGAAATGGGGCTTGCAGATAAAGATGGATAAGTGCCTAAGTTTTCATTCTCTTCATAGTGGGAGGCGTGGGACTAGTAGTGATGCTAGACTGATCAGAAAAGCACCCAATTTTTGCTCTGTTAATTGCACTGTATATTTTTTGATGTATGTGCTGTCACACAATTATCTTTTATTATTTATTTGCTTTTTATCCATATTGGTATGTATAACTCTATACACTTTCACTGCTATATCCATCTGTGTACATAATTTACGTTGATACTCCATTACCAGTTTTTTCTAAATCATAAATATTCCTCTATAGGATCCTTGTATACATGAGAGGATTTCTAGTACATATATATAGTGATGGAATTTGCTGGGTCATGGGGTTACTTTTTTTACTTTTATAATTACAACTACTTTTTTTTTTTGCTTTCTAAACAGTAATTCTACCAATTTATCCCACCATCGATTATCTGAGTTCCTGGCCAGCACTTGGCGTCACCAGACTTTTATTTGCCAGACTATGATGTTAGTAAGAAAAGGTATCTCATCCCAGTGTGTATCTTATTGAATCTGCATTCACTGGTTTATTAGCTAGTGAGCATTGTCACTTATTGCTTGTTCATATCCTTTGTATTCTAGTCATCCTTGATCAGTTGTGTATGTTCTAATCTGGGGCTTGTCTTTCCCATTTTTTAATATCATTTGACGAAATGTTCGCTCATCTATCAAGATTTTCTTTTTTGTTTTTTGAGACAGAGTCCCACTCTGTCACCCAGGCTGGTGTGCAGTGGCAGTGGCATCGTCTTGGCTTACTGCAACCTCTGCCTCCCAGGTTCAGGCAATTCACCTGCGTTGCAAGTAACTGGGATTACAGGCACCCACCACTACACTCGGCTAATATTTGTATTTTTGGTAGAGGAGGTTTCACCGTGTTGGCCAGGCTGGTCTTAAACTCCTGACCTTGTGATCCATCAACCTCAGCCTCACAAAGTGCTGGGAGTACAGGCATGAGCCACTGCACTTGTCCTATCAACCTTTAAAGGTTTGTGCTTTTTGTCTTTTAAAAATCCTTACCTTTCCTGGGTGGGTGTGTACTTACTTTCTTTGAAAAGTTTGATTTTTCATATTCAGTTTTTAAGTCACCAGGAATTGATAGATTTCATTAAAAGGAAAACTGATTCATAGTATATGTGACAGGTAAGATCTGTCTAGGCCAATCTGTAATTATATAAATTTACAAGTAGGTGACTTGCCTGCCTGTCCTTCAGTGACATCTTGCTTCCATGAGCCTAATCTCATTGTGATAACGTTAAGGTAGCTGTGGTCCATGGGTTAACACTGGCTAGTCATTGTTCATGCCCCCTCTACTCTCAGGTGTCCCATTTTGAGACATTACAAAGTCAGCCTTGTTATAACTGCTTTCTCCTCACTATGATTATCTACTACCTGTTGTGTGTGACCTATTTATATTCATTCACTGGTTGTAACTTCCCATTCTGTTACAATTAATGAGCCTCTATAGGAGATCAAATGCTATAATTTTGGTACTAACTGAACACAGTAATATTTTGCTAAAGGGATGTGTATTTACTTCTTGAGTACACTTTCTGTACAAATCCAGTGCTGTCTAGCTGATGTACCTATGGGACATCTATGTGATATACTTCCTGTACTTCTTGGTTTTTATAGTCATTTCCAACCAATGAACACACCCACTTACTATTGTACAGTTTATAAAGAGTAAAAACTCTTTCTTTAGTCTGTTGAAAGACCGGATAGTGGACGATAAATGAGAGCTCTCATTGCATTTCAAGGAGTATAAAAATGAACATGCCCCGGGTAAACTCTTATTTTACCAAACAATCTTTTCCACACACACACAATAAATTAACAGAATCCACAATAAATGTACATTTTTTAACAAGAAAAATCAGTTAGTGTTACTTCATGATCACATAAGGATTATCACAGTTCTGTGTCCATTAGCACATTACCATCTTTGTCCTTAACTCTTATACGACCAGATCTGTACTTCGTTTCTTGATGACCATTTGCATATACGGTTTTAACAGTGCCATCTGGGTATTCCCGTCTCTTGAACTGGGCAGTATGTACTTCTCTTTGGCCATTATTAAACTCTATGAGTTTGTTACCATCACTGTAAAATTTAAAATAAATAGAATTTCTTTTAGAAAATAGACAACAGGAAAACTATTGAAGAATAGCCTTTTGATTCTGGCAGCGACTTCTGGAGATGTCCCTTGGTTCTTTTCCCTATACAATTATAACTTTCTACAGGGTTTCTGCTTCAGGGTGATAGTTCCAATTATCAGATTAGCACTTATATGTACCCATGAAAAGCTTGTTTATTTATTTATTTATTTTTTTGAGACGGAGTTTTGTCCTTGTTACCCAGGCTGGAGTGCAATGGTGCGATCTTGGCTCATGGCAACCTCTGCCTCCTGGGTTCAGGCAATTCTCCTGCCTCAGCATCCTGAGTAGCTGGGATTACAGGCACACGCCACCATGCCCAGCTAATTTTTTGTATTTTTAGTAGAGACGGGGTTTCACCATGTTGACCAGGATGGTCTCAATCTCTTGACCTCGTGATCCACCCGCCTTGGCCTCCCAAAGTGCTGGGATTACAGGCTTGAGCCACCGCACCCGGCCGAAAAGCTTGTTTTAATTTACATTTTCACCACAAAATACTTAGGAATTTTTAAAAACTTGTGTTCTTCCTCTTGGTTGTTATATTAAAATGGACCCTTGTTTCACTAATTTAAAAACCATCTGAATGCTCTGTATCAGGTGGGGAAGAGAGCTATTCCTGGGAAGAGGCATCATCAGACTTAAAATCTGTTTTGAAACAATGGAACAAAACAGAATGTGAAAGATAATTCACATCAAGTTGATTGCTTGACATGCCTGTGGGACATTCATTCAAATGGAACCCCCTAATACGGGTGTTGGTATATCATTAGAAATGCAAGGCTGGGGCACCTTCTGAGCACAGACGAACAGGTGTCACACTGAGTGATTTTTCTGTTAATATAATGGTGTCATACCTTTGTACTCTGACAATTGTACCATCTGGGAAAATGCTTTCTTCTTGTCCATCAGGAAATAAGTTTTTAACAGTCTGGTCAGGAAACGTGATTTCTTTTCTTCCATCTGGGAAATGTTTTTCTGTTTAAAAATTTACAATAAGTATTTTTTGAAAGAAGGGAAAAATTTAATGAGAGGATGGAGCAAGTGTGTACCTATTTGTCCGCTTGAGAAATGTAAGACTTCCAGTCCCTTCGGGTACGTGGTATGAGTAGTCTGGGCAGCTGCATAGTAGTAGATCTGTAAAGACACACAGTCAGTCAGTTTGCCTTTTCTCCAGAGATGGTTAAGCTCTGGAGGAGAACGCTTCTGGAAACATACCACTCTCTGGTCTGGCATGACCTGCTTCACATCACCATTAAAGAACGTGACAGTGATGGTCTTCCCATCTGCACTCACTTCCTTCCGAGTTCCATTGGGAAACAGTATAACATGGCACCCATTCTTATAAACCTTTTCCACCTAAAAAAACAACACAAGATGATCACCTTTTAAGAAAGATCTGCCTAATTCTCCTCCCAATTGCCTACTTTGAAATTTTTCATAATAAAATGTAAAACATTCACTCAAAAAATCCTTTATTTCATCAGGAGTAGCAAACTTGTGATTTTCTAATTTTATCATTCCTTTTCCATGTATTAGCTGGAATTCATCTAAAAAAGAAAATCTTCCCTCATCAATGATTTGTTACCCTAAAGTAGATGTTGTACAGCAAAGTCTTAACTACTACTTTTGACTGTTGTTCTTAGTTCTTCTCTCATTCCTCAAGGCTAGCAGTGAACTCTCTCTAATTTCAATAGAAATGGACCAGATTAGGGTATTTGAAAAGTAAATTTTCCATAAACCTGAGGAAAAATTCCCTCATAACCTCTTATATATGTCCTTTTCCCTTTAGCTGGAACCTCTAAGCTGTTTTCCCACTCAGAAACTTTCCTAAGCATAAGAATAAAACTATGTAGGCTGGAGACAGGGAGAGAGGCCCCTGACTTGGGATTGGTATAAGAAAGGCTGCAAGCAAGGAAGACCTGGAATGAAGCTTTTAAGAAGTGCCAAGGATTACAAAGGCTTTGGAGTAGGAACAAAGATGATACAGAGATTGTATGCTTTCTTTTGCTGACTCTCTGAATGAGAGAAATGCCAGCTAAAGGCACGCTGTCCACAGAGCCATTATTTTAGATTCTCTGTTTCAGCGACTTTCACCTATGTTTTATTTTTTACAGAATTCATTATTTCAAAATATGTTTTAACCTTGCCATCAGGATGATTGATTTCTCCCTGTATGTCATCGTCTTCCTCCTCTTTATATTCAGGATCTGGGATGTTCAGTGGTTCAAGTGGCTCCCTGGGAGAGGCAGCCTGTAAGCAAAAGATATTTTAAGCAGCTGAAACCTTTTCCAAAGCCAGACCCTGATACAGGGTTCTAGGACTAGTGTTTACAATTACATATATGACATTTATAACATTAAGTAAAAACTCTATACATGGTTTAGAAACTTTATTAAATTGATTTCAAGCCTGAGTAATGTACATTTGAATATATAAAAATAGAGATTTACTTGTCCCTTATCCGAATTGCCTAAATCACGAGGAGGTGCAGACTTGGATGTTCGAGATGGGTTGCCTATTAGAATAAAATTGTCAGAGTTAGATTTAATATGTAATAGAAAATTTTACTAGTGTGATCAAACATTTCCTTAGTACACATCTTGTGAACTACTTTCCTTTATCCATTAGTTAAGGATGTCTTAATATTTTTCTTCACCAATTTGTAGTTCTCCAACCCAGGTACTTAAGTCCTAAATGGCCAAGAAAGACAGTATCTGTTCTCAGAGTTTACAATCCTGGGGAAGAGACAGGTGATCAAATAGCCTAACAGACTCAAATGTATATCAGGGACAATCACAAGGTGTGAGGTGCAGATAAAAGAGGCACCTAAGATCTGTGAAATTTGGCTTGACCAAATAACTGGGTATTTAGTTAAAACATAAATGTCCTTGCGGCTATGGTCTAAACTTTTTATAATATGGCCAGCACATCAATCACGTAACTGTACTAATGCCACATACATTACAAAATAAACACACCAACAACAAAGTGAGGTGAATCTCTAAAAAATACACTGAAGTGCCAGTATTTTCATCCTATGTGCCAATGGATCATACTGTAAACATTCAACTTGGAAGGGTCTCGACCAAGTGCCAGAATCTGACCTACATGTTAAAAAGTATAATGGAGCTGGATGTAATGGGAGAATGGCCAGTAAGCTGCCAGGCACATGAGGCGGCTGTGCTGTGCCTGTGAGACAGGAATGGTTCGATTACACCATGGGAAATCACTGATTTATAGGTCCCAAATTACCAGATATCAGCAATTCATGATTCAGTGTAACAAATAGATCCAGAAAACATCAACATCAAATGGATCAATCTAGGGACTACTGGGAGTGGATGGTGAAGGGTAACAGAAAAAAGTACTCAGAGTACACAAGGGTTCGGGCTTGACTAAGCAAAGGGGTCGATGGCAGACAGGCTTGGGATAGCAGGAGTGCCCTGTTTGGGATGATACAAGAATGTCATGCTTCGCCCCCACAGGTTATGCGTGAAAAGTAAACCAAAGCTGTGTGACATCATTTCTCATAACCACCTCTAGAGAAAAGACTAGTATTCCCATTTTATAGGCAAAATAAGGCCAGGTGGTTAAAAACCTTCCAATGGTTGTCAACTAATAAAAGGCAGAACCAGGATTCAAACCCACTATATATCAAGTATAACTCTTCTCAGGCTATGAATTAACACTAACTTAAACCCCTAAAGGATCTATCAACTGGGCAGGATAAGGAGAGGGGACCATGGGCATGGACAGACTCCGGGTGCAAGCACACCGTCTAGAGGACTATGTGAACCCACCTTAGAAAACAAAACAGGAAAGTGGGGACAGAGGAAGCTAGGGAATATACAGTGCTAGAATAGCTGGGTAAATACTAGGGGAGGGATGTTTATGACCCTAAAATAGGAGAAGAATTAAGAAACACTGCCCAGCCAGGTACAGTGGCTCAAGCCTGTAATCCCAGCACTTTGGGAGGCCAAGGTGGGCCGATCACGAGGTCAGGAGTTGGAGACTAGCCTGGCCTGTGTGGTGAAACCCTGTCTCTATTGAAAGTATAAAAATTAGCCAAGCACGGTGGCATGCGCCTGTAATCAGGGGCTGAGATAGAATTGCTTGAACCTAGAAGGCGGGGGTTGCAGTGAGGCAATATCATACCACTGCACTCCAGCCTGGGCAACAGAGCAAGACTCCGTCTCAAAAAAACAAACAAAAAGAAGCACTGCCCAAAGGGAAAGACTAAAATTGAACTACTTTTAAGAATTGGGGTTCATCAAAAGATAATACTAAAAGATGGTGGGTAAGTAAAAAAGATAAGCCATGGACTAGAAGAAGGTATCGACAATGTATGTGGATTATAAGTATACCACTTATACCACGGGTCCCCAAATCCCACGGTATACCGGTCTGTGATCTGTTAGGAACTGGGTCACACAGCAGGAGATGAGCAGCAGGTGGGCAAGCCAACAAAGCTTCATGCTGTATTTACAGCTGCTCCCCATCACTAGCATTATTGCCTGAGTTCTGCCTCCTGTCAGATCAGTGGCGGCATTAGATTCTCATAGGAGTGCAAACCCTATTGTGAACTGCGCATGTGAGGAATGTAGGTTGCGTGTTCCTTATGAGAATCTAATGCCTGATGATCTGTCACTGTCTCCTGTCACCCCCAGATGGGACTGTCTAATTGCAGGAAAACAAGCTCAGGGCTCCCCCTTATTCTACATTATGGTGAGTTGTCTAATTATTTCATTATACATTACAATGTAATAATAATAGAATTAAAAGTGCACACACACCCCAGTCTGTGGAAAAATTACCTTCCCTGAAACTGGTCCCTGGTACCAAAAAGACTGGGGACTCCTAATGTATACTACCAAAGTGAGCACATGCTATTAGAAAAATGGCACCAATAGACTTGTTCAGTGCAGAGTTACTACAAATCTTCCGTTTGTAAAAAACATAGTTTCTGTGGGCACAATAAAGCAGAGCACAAGAAAATGAAGTGTGCAATAAAGAAAAGCCATGGACTCCATGGAGGGGCAGTTCTGGGCTGCCACTAATCTATATCTTTACGTAGGTGGTGGTAACCAAGTATTGGTATTGGCTCTGTTAATTGTCAAATTAACCCAAGTATTGGCTCTGTTAATTGTCAAATTGCATATGTTTTATCTTTTCTAAATTTATTTCACAAAAATAATTATTTAAAATTCCCAGATTAAAAACTCAGATGTGAATGCAAAAGTGCATAGAAGAAAACGGTCTATGATCTGAGGATTGAAAAAATTAAAGTCATGAAAACCAAAAACTATTTTAAAAGACTTGTAAATTCAACATTACAAGGAAAACACATAAAAAGCCCAGACTGGGAGAAAATATTAGCAGTGCTTGTAACTGACAAAGGATTAATATGCAGAATATAAGGAGAAACATGCACACATACCCCCCAAAATTTTAAATGGACAAAGGAAATGAATGGGCAGTTCACGAAAGGGAAACCTCAAATGCTGACTGAATGTAAGAAAACATGCTCACAGGACCTTACCAATAATGATCACGGAATGAACCACCATTTTACATCAACTGGCCAAAATTTTAAAGTCTGGTCAGATCAAGTATGAAGAGCATACTCTGCTGACAGTAAAAAACTGGTACAACCATGTTGCAGAGCAAAGGGAAAACCTCCAGCCGACATGCCCCAACATCCTATTCTTCATATGTATCCTAGAGAAGCAACAGGATCAAGACACGCTCTGCAGCCCTACTCATTATCATGCAAACCTAACTGTCCATCAACAGGAACACTGAACTGCAGAAGTATGCAATCTATAGAACTATTAAAATCAGTCAACTGGAAATTTTATGTGTTAAGATGGGTAAGTCATACAATATTGAAAGAAAAAAAATTGCAGGACACAGAATATGAAACAACATCACAGGCTGAATGTCCCTTATCCAAAATGCTTGGAAACAGAGTATTGCAGATTTCCTTTTTTTTTCCCCCAAGTTTTGGAATATTTGCAAATACTTACTGATTGAGCATCCCTAATCCACATTCAGAATGCTCCAGTGAATGTTTCCTTTGAACATCATGCTTGCCCTCAAGTTTCGGATTTGGGATGCTCAACCAGTATATCAATTTATGAACACAACATGGTAAAAGAATTTAAAAAACAAGCATGAATCATTATCACGGTAGAAATTAACTGGAGGAATAAGATGATGCACAGGAGCTTCAATTACATTTACAGTGTTTTATTTCTTAAGTTGGGTGTAAATTCTTTATATTCTGAAATGCTTTATAAAAAGATCATGCAGTTTCATACCTTGCATTGGCAAATAATTTTTCTTGTATTTTTCTACCTGGGTTCCTGAAGAAATCTGACTCTTTTGATATCGAACAGATGTGTTCTATAGTATAAGAGAGAATTTTTTATTTAAAATGAGTGTTAGTCTGAGTATTAATATACTAAGTGAAACTAAAAAAAATCAGCTAGTGATGAGAATGCTGTGGGTTTTGCTTATTCATACTGTTTTCATTTATACAAGAGGCCAAAGCAAACAAGCTGTTATCTAGGAATGGCGACAGTGAGTGCACACACACACACTCCTTTTGACATTCATTCATTCTTCAAGTTAGAACACAGCAGGCAAGGTAACCTGAACCATCTTCTCTGACTATTACAGAGCAGCCAAGGAGCACACAGGCCCAAAGCTCATGGTGTTCAAGGACAAAGCCTCTCTTGGGTGCTCCCCACTCACACTCCCACCAGGACAGTCCAGTTGAGCCCAGCTCTCCCTGAGACCACCACTGAGCACTCCCCGTGAGGATGAGGTAGGGTGAGTCCTCTCTCTACCCCACCTCCATTTCTGGCCAAATCAAGCCCCAATATTACTTGCCCCCGCCCCCGCCAGGTCCCTCCCTGCCGGGAGATGATGCTTCCAGCGCCGTCCTTGGTGTCCTGCCTTAGCTCCACACCCAGTGATCAACCCTAGAACTTTTCATTATCAATACTGTCAACATCTGTAATTATCAGTAACCATAAAATTATCAATTTCAAAGCATTCTACTTACAAAGTTCCAGAAGGTGGGGCATTCTACAAAATAACCTGGTCTCTTCAAAAGTCAATGCAATTTAATAAAATGCTAAAACATTTAGGGCTGAGATGCCATGATTCCTGCAACTACCTTCAAATAGTTTGGTGAAATATAGACACAACTATGGCAAAATGTTCTTGGTGGTTGAATCGCAGTGGGTATCCAGGTGTTTATAGTACTATTCTTTCACATGTTCTCTATTTTGAGAAGCTTTCATACACAGAATGTAGGGGCAGCAAGGAGAAGAAAGCTACTTTCTCACTACTCTCCTGTCTTTGCAGCTCATTCTGTTAATCCCCGCCCCTGACCATGCTCACAGCTGACAGGGCCCTGCGGGTCCCTAACCCCCAGTGCTTGCCATGTCCTGAAAGCTTCCCAGCCCACGTGCTCCTCAGGTAGCTGAAGTATGTGCTGCACAAAGCACTCTTGTCACACACACACTGCCGGCTCCCCTCCCTTTGCTCACTTGGTGGCATTCACTTGGCGGCATTCACTTGGCTGACCACAGCTGAACAAGAAAAAAACAGTATGAGCAATTCTCATTTAAAATTTTTGGTCTCCAACCCAGGTGGGCCTGAGTGCAGCCACAAATCAATCTATTCCCCCAGCTTCTGCTTTCGTTCGCAGAGACAACCTCTGGCTTTCTGCATCTCTTCTCCTCCTGCCGCCTCTGCCCTCACAGGAGGCTGAGTTGTGCCTTCACCTCCCACCTTTGGGCATGAAGGCCATCGCCTGGCCATAGCCTGCCCTCCACTCACTGCCCCAACCCAGCTCGTCTCACTTAGCCAAGTATGGGGCTTCTGCAATTCTTCCACTTCCTCCTGCATCAATATTGTCCTCTACCCTGAACCAGTCCGACCAATACTCACACTACTGTTAACTTCATCAACTTTCTCCTATGGCCACTACCCCCATGTCCTTAATTTACTGCAAAACTACTCAACAAAGCTGTTATCTGCTCCTAACCAATCAGGCTTTCCTCTTCAACACTCCAGAGAAACAGACCCTCTCAAGGCCCACAGTTATTTCTCTCTACCTGGTAAACCCCATGGCCGGTTTTGAGTCCTCCTCTGAATAGCTGCCACACCCAACAAAGGTAGTTACTTTCCTCCTTGTGGCCCTTTCTTCACTGGCTCTCAGGACATCACACAGCCTCCTGATCTTTGGCTGCTTATCAGCTCCTCCCTGCCCACTCACACCCCGTCTGGCCTCTCCCAGCCCCACGCTGGATCACACATTTGGACAACCCTGGGTGTCTGTCCCCAGCTGGAGCCCGTGCTGCCATGTGCAGCTGCGTGGTTGGACCGCCCATGTGTCCAAGCCTGAGCTCCTGGTGGCCATGTGATCTCTTCTTGCGGTCACTCCTAGGCAATAGGACCTTCATGAGACCAAAACACAAAACTAAGCACAGCTGAGGCCATTCCTGACTCATTCCTTGCTGTCACCACCAACCACACACACAGAGCTCAACAAACAGTCTGCTTTCCCACCACTGCTGCCCCGTCCCCCCAGCCCCACTGCGTTCCTGGTGTGGCCCATGCTCCCTTCCACCTGTTCTTGGTCTACAGCAGACAAAACTAAAATTACAGGCCCAGCCACCCCTCATTCAGAGCCCTCCAGACTCCCACTCACTCAAAAAACGCCCCAGTGCACGCTGCCATCTGTTAGGAATCCCATCCACTGCCGACTGGCTCATCCTGCCCCAATGGCTGCCTCCCCCTGCCGCTCCTCACCCACTACTCTGACTGCCCAGTCTCAGGCCCACTCAAGCGCTGCTGCAGGCTGGGGCTCCTCTACAGACTCAGCCAGCCACCCAGGCCACTCCTCACATACACTTCCCAGGCCTCCCACCCAGATGGCAACGCCACTCCGCCCTGCTTCTCCTTAGCTCTCATGACCATCTCACACACCGCATGCTTTATCATTTAGCTTGTTACAGTCTCTCTTCCACCACTGGAACATAAGCTTCATAAGAGGAAGGGATTTTGTCTGTTTGTCACTGCTGTACCCCAAGCACCTAACACAGTGCCTGGCACACCCTGGATGTTCATAGAGATAAATGAAAGACCAATTACTTGATTAAAAGGGTCACATGTGTGCGACTCTCAGCCAAACTCTTCCCTGGTCTGTTTTAACAGAGATGATCTGCCTACTGTGGTAAACCTCCTCTGTAGAAATTAGCAAAATGAGTCTACAAAGCACCTGTTTATAACAATGCTTGAGAAATCTTTTTAGTTGTGATAATTAGTATCACATAAATCTCACCGTCTTCAGCATGCACACGTCAGGGGCGTTAAGGATATCTGAGGTATAGTGCAACCACTGCCCTCCGTCCAGCTCCAGGACGCTTTCCATCTCACAAGATGGCAACTGTCCACATTCACAGTCACTCCCCACTGCCCCCCAGGGCCTGGCAGCCCCCATCCTACTTTCTGACTGTATGAATTTGAATGCTCAGATACTTAACCTCCCACTGGCCTGATACAACCTGTTGGCCTCCCCACCTACCGTGAGCTTGTCCTTCTTCTCCCCCTCCAGGCTGCTCTCTATGGCTTCTGCTCTCTTCCAGGCATCCAGTCGGAATCTTTCCATCACTTTTATTTCTTCCCGGAGGTCTGTGTTCTCTCTGACTAACATTTCTATCTGGCTTCGGAGACGGCCGTGTGTACTCGACCATTTGGTTTCCTTTCGTTTCAAATCTTCCCGTAAATCTGCTATTTGCTGTTTTAAAGCCTCTCAAAAAGAAAAACAAAGCATTAGTACATTACTGGAATTAAAACAACAGAATAATAGAGAACCAGCAATGACACAGAATAGTCAGCTAGAAAGGAAAGGCTTAGTCAATAGACGATATTCTAAGACCACTGCGGGTTTTCGGGGGGGGGGGGGGAGTGTCACCACAGACCATCAGCAAAATGAATTCCAGAAGCCAGGAGAAAGGGAGGCAGACAGCCCATGGGAGCTGACAGCAGAAACCTGCCATGAGCTAGGAAAGACCTCACCTAAGCTATGAATTGAAAAGGATCCGGGGGAGATCCGGAAAAGAAGAAATGCAACAGGAGCTCATGGAGAACTGAAGGAGGAGTAGAGCTAAAGAATAAGAGAATCCAAAGTCAAAACTACCTGCCCTAGAAACTATCTGAAATTCATGAGAAGAAATAAGTTTCAAGAAAAGGAGTTGTTTTAGGTAGACTAAAATAAGGAAGAAATCACTGGAAATGTCTAGAAGCAATTTGAGATCACGTGCAGCTGCAAGCTATGGGGACTGACCAAGAGCTGAGGAAGAAGCCGGGCACCGAAGCCCCCTGGAGCAACGCCATAGGGATAGCCGGTGGTGAGGCAGCAGGCAAGGCCGGCCCACACCCCTGCACCTCAGCAACCCCGTGGCAGCCACACGGCAGTCCAGTGAGGATGGAGAGGACATCAGGGCCCCACCGCAGAGGGTGTGAACTTCGGATTGGGTGACATCAAGGTTCACATCTGAGTTTTCTGACTTGAAAGCTTAAAACAGGGCCCACAACCTCCATGAACATCAGGTTCCCGATTTGTGAGATGGATTATGAACAATAAATGAACAATTTCCGTTAAGCATTTTATTATGCAGGAAGATGGACTTAACATTAAAATAGTAAAATACAAGTCTAAATGGGTTCAGAATTCAGGAGCAATGAATATTTACAAGAGATCTATTATCAGGCACTATCACAGGCCCTTGGAATACTAAGAACAAAGCCTCACCTTATGAGGCTCACTCTGCCAGGAACAGTGGGTGATGGGAGAATGGGAGGGTGGCTGGGGCAGGTGAGGGGGTGACAGGAGAGTGGGAGGGTGGCCAAGGCAGGTGGGGTGACGGGGCAGAGTGGGTAGCTGGCCGGGGCCGCGTGGAGAGGCAACATGACATGTGCTGGGTATCAGTGAACAGAGCTGCGGGAGGCAGCCCTTGGGGAAAGCAGCAGGAGGGCTCCTGGTTCAGCGCCAGCGCTGCAAGGTGCTAGTGCAGGTGAGAGGTAAATGGCAGGAGGACTGGCCAGGGACAGGAAGGGGAAAAGAGGCCCAGTCACACAGGGACTGAGGCTCTTAGAGGAAGGAAAGCAGAAGCATATGGAGGGGTCTGAGCAGAGGGGATGCGTGGTCACCTTCTGGAGCAACGCCATAGGGATAGGGCAAGAGAGGAGGCTGGGCCGCCAGCAAGTCATTAACCCGGAGGTGGCAACTGGAATCTGGGTGGACTTTGTCAGAAAAGCATGGAGTGGAAGAGCAAGAGAAGCCTCGAGAATGATTCGAGACCTCTGGCCTAAGCATGGGAGAGGAAGGCAGCAGGACAGCCACTGGCAGAGGGCCACGGATGAAGCGTGGGGTTTATGGTTGGAGTAAGGCACAGGGGCTAACAGGGGCTGTGTCAGAGCCACGGAGTGATCGGAGGCCGCGCTGCAGGGCTTGTGGAGAAAACAGCAGGTGAGATTTGGAGATCTGGGCACAGTGAATATGGGCAAGGCTTTCAAGGAGTTTTGCTGTAAAGGAAAACCTTGGGCTGTGGGGTCCAGTGAGTTTTGTTTAAAGAAATGCCAGCCGGTGGTAAGAACGGGGAGGCTGGAGGAGTAACACGCGGTGGAGACAGGGCAGGGCGGAGGTGGGGGTGGGGGGCTCTGTGGGTGGGAGGCGCCCCTGGGGGCCAAGGAAATAAGAGGCAACAGCCAGGCATAGGGAGACAAGGGAGCCCCTAGGCTGGGGGACTGGCAAGAGCCCAGACCCAGACAGACGGGAGAGGAGCCGGGAGGAGAAAGGGGTAGAGGAAACGACCAGCAGAGCCCAGCAGGCCTGGGGGCAGGTGGGATCCACCACTGGGGCGCAGACTTCCAGTACAGTGAGAAAGCTCAGAGGCATCCTGGTCAACATGGTGAAACCCCGTCTCTACTAAAAATACAAAAAATTAGCTGGGCATGGTGGTGTGTGCCTGTAATCCCAGCTACTCAGGAGGCTGAGGCAGGAGAATTGCCTGAACCCAGGAAGCGGAGGTTGAGGTGAGCCGAGATCGCGCCATTGCACTCCAGCCTGGGTAACAAGAGCGAAACTCCATCTCAAAAAAAAAAAAAAAAAAAAAAAAAAAAGTAAAATTTAAATACCAGGAGGGCAGAAATGGCTAACTCATCATCAATTCCTCAATGATTGTCAGTTTCTAGTACTTAAGGGGTTCTCAATAAATTTGCTGAATGAATAAATGCCCAAAATAAAAGCTAATACATTTTTTTAACATAACCATAACGTAAAGGAAGGTTAAATATGCCCTCTCCTTAATTCTGATGATTTAATAGAGTATCAAACATAACACACCTGTACCTGTTTTTAAAGTATATTTTTGCACAGAAGTAGAAAGAAAGATAAATACAGGGACTATGAATAAGCCAAATAGTGTAAGGAAAAAAAGGAACTGCTCCAAAACCAGCAAGAAATAATGAATACCCAGGGTCACACATAACCAAGTATGAACGGGGTCCAAAACTTCAATCAACACTAGAAGTCATATAAAGGAACAGAGGCAAGAGTTCAAGAATGAGTTCCTGAAGAGAGAGGGCAACTCACCAGCCCAGCCCCTCCCCACCCAACAGGCGCCTGGAGGGGCACAGCCCAGAGCTGCGAGCAGTGAGGATATGCCCAGTCCTGCACGGTGCACTGTGGCAGCCACCAGCCAGCCAAACGTGGCTACTAAATCCTGGAAAGGTAGCTAACGGGAATGAGTAACTGATTTTTCTATTTACCTCTAATTAATTTAAATGTAAATGTGTAAACAGCCACACAGGGCTAAGAGCTGGCAGCCTGGACTGCACAGTCTGAGAATCAGAGGACACATTGTGCGAGGGAAAGGCACCAATTTGCCAGAAAGGAGAACCCACGTTATTCACCTAACAAAGTATAACAACAAAAAGAATTGTGTTTGCTGTGGCTTAAATCACTTGGAAAGAAGTAGTCAGGATCAGAGCTATGAGAAAGAGGACAGGAGGGGAAAAAACACAATCTCATAACCTTGGGTGGTCTAAGGAGGTTATTTATTTTTTTCCTTTGGATCTGGTGAGCTTTCCATAACAGCAAGGTTATCAAAATATCTCTAATCCTAGGAGATCCAGAAACAATAAAAATGAAATGACAAACCCATCATGTATTTTAGAATAGGCTATGGTTTTATATTTGGTGAAGTTTTCTGGTAGCAGAGTTTGTTATAACTACTGTTTATAGCCAAAGTATTTGGCTTGTTCACCAAAAACAGCCATACTAAATTTGTAACTACAATTCATTGCTTAAAATAAATTCAATTAAGTTTAATATCAATTTTTAACCTCTTACCAATCAAGTGAAGAACAAAATATACTCTAAGAAGTGCGTGCTAGTAGAACTAAAAATTAATTATAGGTGGGCACCTATAATCCCAGCTACTCGGGGGCTGAAAGAGAATTGCCTGAACCTGAGAGGTGGAGGTTGCAGCGAGCTGAGATGGAGCCCCTGTACTCTGTTATGGGTGATGGAGTGAGATCCTGTCTCAAAATTAAATAAATAAAAACAACTAAAAATTGGCAAGATGTTTATGAAGGGATAATCTGGCAATTTGTATCAATGTACATATGCTTTAACCTCAAAATTTCACTCATAGGAATCCATCCTAGAGATATACTCCAGGAAGTAAGCTAGATGAGGACAGGGATTGATTTGTTTTGTTCACTACTATATTCCCAGTCCATGCCTACTACATAGCAGCTACTCAGTGGCCACACGCTGAATGAGTAAGTAGGAGAATGATTGTGAGAAGTGATATGTGCACAAAGTTATTCAGTATAGCCCTTCTTGTATTCTTGTAAATAGAAGAAGAACAGAAATAAATAAATGCTTAGGTAAGTATATTATGGCACACATTGCAATTCTATACAATAATAAAACAAAGAATAAAGATGTTTTGTTAAGATACATAATGATTTCAGTAGACTGACGTTAATGTTTAAAAAAAACCACCATGGATACATATATGTATTTGCTAAGAATTTCTCTGGAAATATATAAGATTGATAGCACTGGCTGCCTCAAGAGAGGTGAATTAGAATGCAAACAAATCAACTGTAAAAAGATACCAAGTGACTGGAAAATCTGAATATGGACTAAATATTAGTTGATATTAAGGAATTATTGTAAATTTTGTTAGGTGTGACAAACATATAATTTCTCCCCCCACTGGGGATGGTGTCTCACTCTGTCACCCAGGCTGCAGTGCAGTAGCGCGATCTTGGCTCACTGCAACCTGCTCCTCCCAGGTTCAAGTGGTTCTCCTGCCTTAGCCTCCCAAGTGGCTGGGACTATAGGTGTGCTACCACACCCAGTTAATTTTTTTTGTATTTTTAGTAGAGATGGGGATTGGCCATGTTGGCCACGCTGGTCTCTAACTCCTGACTTCAAGCGATCTTCCTGCCTCGGCTTCCCAAAGTGCTGGGATTACAGACGTGAGCCATTGTGCTCAGCCGATAATCGTATTTTTTAAAGATGTCTTTCTCAGAGAAACCTACTAGACTATTTATGGGTGAAATGAACAATGTCTGGGATTTCACGTTTTAAATTCCAGATTAAAAAGCTACAAAAGAGTAGAGGGGAGACACAGATGAAATTAGAAAGACAAAATGATCACTGGTGAAATGGGAATTCATTCTATTATTCTTTCTACTTTCACGTGCTTTTGAAATTTTCTATAATAAAAAATTATTTTCAAAAAACAACTGAATAAGTGGCTAGGGCAAGGGTGAGGGAGAAATTTCACAACACATCTTTTTGTACCTTTTGAATGATATATTTATATTGCCTTTGGAAATAAAAGTTTTAATACTGTCAAAGTCTAATACATTAGATTTAATAAAGTAAGTATTAACCAAAACATAATGGTACATTTCTTCCCACAAAAATAAAGAATTAAAGACCCTGAGCACCATGCTATTTAGTAACTCAAGCTGGAGGTGTGCAGGTGAGATTGCTTGAGGATGGCTACAAGAGACAGGAAGAAAGCAAAAGCTGGAATTCAAAACTGCTAGTAATTAAAATACAGACAGTGGAAGGTGAGTTTGCTGTTTTTCCTTTTTCTTTTTTGAGATGGAGTCTCACTCTATCACCCAGGCTGGAGTACAGTGGCATGATCTCAGCTCATTGCAATCTCTGCCTCCTGGGTTCAAGCGATTCTTCCCCCTCAGCCTTCCGAGTAGCTGGGACTACAGGCACATACCACCGCATCCGACTAATTTTTGTATTTTTAGTAGAGATGGGATTTCACCATTTTGGCCAGGCTGGTCTTGAACTCCAGACCTCGTGATCCACCTGCCTCGGCCTCTCAAAGTTTTGGGATTACAGGTCTGAGCCACCACACCCAGCTGGTGAGTTTGCATTTTATGCTAGAAGCAACGATTGCCATTTTAAATTTCTCTTTTGCTAAGTTTTAACTTTGATGAAGTCCAACATATCCATGTTTTATTTTATAGTTAGTTATGTCTTCTCTTAGAAATCTTTGCATATGCCAATATCGTAAATAAATTCACCTATTTTTTTCTAGAAGGCTTACAAAGTTTTAGCAAGAACTGCATGAGTTCTTTTTTAACTTCTACAACCTTCTGATCATATCCATTTCTAACTATGAAATGAACAGGACTGATAATCTGGCCTATCAGTTTCTGAGTTTTGGAATTAAACACCTGGTTATTTACAGCTGTAAGTTATGTTAAATGATCAGAACTAACAGTATTTCGTATGTGGCAGGTCAAAAAGATTAACACAACATTATGCTGGTGAATTTCCAACTCCCAGCTTGTTCATTCATCCATGACATTATCATGGTCTTTTCTAGGAAGTCTTTACTAGTAAGAAAAGAACTGATACATATTTTATTCTTTAAAAGTCAGACTACAACAGATATTCCTGATGCATTGTCTCAGATTATTTGTTGAATGAATAATGGACTGAAACACAGTTTTGCTTTGACATATGAAGTAACTCTAATGAGATCCTTACAATACTGTCCCCTTTACTAACTTATATGACTATAATGTAAAGAACTAGCATACCTGTATTTCTTCCCGTTCCTTTTTATCTGGAAAAGCTCTTGCAGCTGTAGTATACTTTTCAAAAACTTTACGTTCCTTTTGTAGCTTCTTCATTTCCTCCTTTTTAAACTCTTCTATTCGAGCTAATTCTTTTGCTTTCTGTTGTTCAAAGTCTGCAATTTCTTTCCTAAAATGACCAAACTATGTTATCACCTAGGGAGACCATCTCAGTGCAGTGATGTGCAGAACCTGTTGACAGGCTGGTAACTGCCAGTCCTAGTGAATTCATCTTCAGTCCATAGGCCTGAAATAACAGCCAGTCCACTCACCAAAGCATTAATCCAACAAGCATTCACTGGGTGCCTATGATGAATCTGGCATTCTACAAGGTAGTGAGGAAACCACAGTGGAAAAAAAAACCAAAAATCCTAGCTGGGCACAGTGGCTCACACCTGTAATCCCAACACCAAGAGGCCGAGGCAGGCTTCAGCCCAGGAGTTCAAGGTTGCAATGAGCCATGATCGCACCATTGTACTTCAGCTTGGGCAACAGAGCAAGACTCTGTCTAAAAAAAAAAAAGAATCGTACTCCCGCAGCTTCTTACATTCTAATGGGAGACCGACAATAATAAAGAAGATAAATGGGTACATGGAATATCAGAAGCATTAAAGAGAAAAAGCAAGAAAGATATTCAGGAAATATGAGTTGGAGGGTGAAATTGTGTTGTATGTGAGGGTTATCTTGCTGAGATAACATGAAAGAAACCTGAAGGAAATGAGAGAATCAATCCAAGAGTGTCTGCACAGAGCAGCGCAGGCAAAGGGAGTGGAAAGTACAAAGGCCCTGAGGCAGGAATGTGCCTGAGGTGTTCAAACAACAGCCAGGAGGCCAGTGTGGCTAAAACAGAGTGAGCAAAGGATGGGCAGCAGGAGAAGGTGTCAAAAAAGGAGGAGGCAGGCCGGGCTCGGTGGCTCACACCTGCAATCCCAACATTTGGGATGCTGAGGTGGGCAGATCACCTGAGGTCAGGGATTCGAGACCAGCCTGACCAACATGATGAAACCCCATCTCTACTAAAAATACAAAATTAGCTGGGGGTGGCAGCACATGCCTATAATCCCAGCTACTGGGGAGGCTAAGGCAGGAGAATGGTTTGAACCCAGGAGGGTTCAACCCAGAAGTTGCAGTGAGCCAAGATTGCACCACTGCACTCCACCCTGGGTGACAGAGCAAGCCTCCATCAAAAATAAAATAAAATAAAAAGCAGATTAAAGACTCCATACAGTAGAGCCCAGGGCTCAGAACCACCTGCTTAGGCTGGCACTGTGGCTCTGTCACTTACTAAGGGGGTAAACAAAAAGCTTCCTTCTCAGTGCATCAGTTTCCTCATCTGTAAGGTGGGAAGGATAACACAATGTCTAAATTTGAGGACTGAATTTTGCTTAGAACAAACCAAAACTGACAAAGGGAAAACGCTAAAATAAATAAATAAATAAATAAAATTTTAAAAAAAAGAAAGAAAAAGAAACAGCCATTATCTTATGATCTAAATGTTGCTTAAAAGAAAAAAATGTCCATTTTGAAATAATGATGTAGAGACATTTTAAAAGTCATCTTGGGTAGAGAAGGGATTGGAATAAGTTCCATGTTTTACCCATCACTACTATAAAAGCATACATTTATAGTATATATCAGCAGAAAAAGATATTTCCATTTAAAAATAATATTCAGAATTTGATTTTTAAGCATAGCTCGAAATACAGTGTAGTAACTGAATTTCCTTTTTAAGTGGATTGATAGCCATCTATAAAACTTTATCTGGAATTTATGGGCCAGGTGTGCTTTAGAATTCATATTTTTCAGGTTTTAGAAAAGAAATACAGAAGCGATGTCATGGAAGATGGTGGAGTAGGAAGCTCCAAGCATCAGTCCCTCCACCAAAGCAGCTATTGAACTAGCAGCACCTGTCAGAATCAACCATTTGGGAACTCTGGAGATGAATGAAAGACTTGCAGTGTCCTGGGAGTCTAAACGAAGAAAGGGGCTGGGAAATCTGCGTGAATTTCAGCATTTGCATAGCAGCCACCATACCCTAGATCCAATCCCACAGCAGATAGCCATGGGAACTACAGTTTTATGAATTTCTCCTCAAACATTAAAATAACAATACCACAAAACAAAGAAATATAGTGTGAGTGCAATATGTAATATCCCCAGCAAGACCCACAGCAACACTTGGAACCAAAAACATTAGTGTTTCTGCAACAGAACTTAGGACTATTCGCAAGTACAATCAAAAAACTATGTCTACATAAAACATATATATAAATATAAATAATAAATATAGTATATACAAATAGCCTCATGTAAGTTTAGTTCAAGTTTTGCTAACCATAAAGTCCGATAAGATCATGACGTAGGGTAGGAAACAATATGTCATACTGTCTACTGGTGTGGGTGGAGTTGTGTCCTCTAAAACAGCATGTTGAAGTCCCAATCCCTGTGAATGTGACCTTATTGGAAATAGGGCCTTTGAAGATATAATTAAGATGCCAGTCAAGGTGAGGTTATAGAGGAGTAGGGTCAGCCCTTGATCCAATATGACCCTATCCTTTAAAGAGACACTGAGACACACACGCAGAAAAGAATGCCATGTGAAGACACAGACAGAGGGAAGATGGCCGTGTGACCACAGAGGCAGAGACTGGAGTGATGTCGCTGTAATCCAAAAAATACCCAAGGAGTGCCTGAAACCACCAGAAGCTGGAGGAGCCAGCGTGGCCCGTCTTGCTGATGCCTGGACTTTGGACTTACAGCCTGAGGAACCACAAGAAAATAAACTGCTTGTTTTAAGCCACCTAGTTGGTAGTACTTTGTTACAGCATCCCAGAGAAACCTATACACTAACTAACCAAAGTACTATTGGATCCAAACTTTTTTTCAAATTTCAATTTATGATCTCTCCACCAAGAAAATTCCCTTTTTGACACATCATTGACTACATTGGGTCATTTTATTCAGTAAAAAAATCTTATATGATACAGATTTCACCTCCTTTTCAGTTATATTTGTTGGATTGACTGAAAATGTTTCAGATTGCTTAGATGGTTTTAAAGATAAAACTGAATCACTGCGTATTTTCTCCCAACTTACAGACCCAAACGCACCTGAGTTTTTCCAAGGCACTTTCTCGTTCAATGCGAAGTTTAGCTAAAGATGCGTTCTCAGCTTTAAACTTTTCTATTTCTGTCTCCAATTCAGTAATTTTGTCTCTCAAAACCTGGGATCGAGCACTGTCACCTATAAAATGGGCCATAAATAGTGAACTTCACAAAAGGCCTTACAGCAGCAAAAACACTAGCTAGCTAGTAACACTAAGAGCCAAGAATATGGCAAACATCTGTGCCATTAAAATGCATTAGAAACAATGCTTCAAATATGAAAAGGAAAAAAAATTAAACCTAACTTTCCTGAGGAAACCAGTGCAAATTTATGAAAGAATTAATCAACCTGAAAAGAGTATCGACCTGACAAGGAATCAACATGATACATAAAAATAAATCATTCAAAACCATTTTTTAAAAGCCAATATATATAAATAGCTTAAGAACATGAGTAAGTAATCCACAAGAGATCTAATGGGCTAATCAACACCAAAATCAAAGTTTATCCCCTACTACTAATCAAATAAATGCAAAGTAAGATTTTTTTCTCTTTATCAAATTTGCTATTTAAAATGTAAAATAGCCAGTGCTTCTGTCCTGCAATTCGAACAAGCATTTTATCCATTAGTACTTTTTCAGAAAATAAATGTGATCCACAAGGCTAAAGAATAGCGCAAGTTATACTTCTCTGTCATATTAAAAATACATAGGAAAAATGATGGGAAGGAAATATCCCAAAAATGGCATAGCCATTACTTTTGGGTAGCTAAGTTGTAAATATTTTTACTTCTATACTTTTTAAGCTTCCAAACTTTCTACAAAAAAAAAAGTTACTTTTAAATCAGAATTAAAAAAAAAAGGTTATAATTTATATTTCAAAGCGCCTATGCTATGCTAGTCAATTGGAGTTTATAATATAATATAATGGAAAGAAATCTTTCAGTGTGAGTTTAAAAAGTCCATTACATCAACTGAAATACTAAACATCCATTAAATGGAACGAGGTAGATGTGTATGTGTTAGAACAATCTTCACAATTTATCATAAGCAAGGTGCAAGACAGTATCTAAAAAGCATATTTTCATTTGTTTAGAAAAGTCATTATATACACTCACACATATGCTTTTACATGCATGGCCTCTTTAGAATACACAAATGAAATGGTAATGCTGATACTTCTAGGAAGGGGGACTTGGACCTGGTCTGGGGAAGAAAGGAAACTTAGGAGCTTTGATGTTATCTCACTTTATTAAAAAGTAATTGATTTTAAAGTCAGAAAGTCAAAACGAAGTTTAAGTTTGAAAAATCTGAAAGGACAATTCAACTGAATCTCTTATACTAGTGACTATTACATTTTATAGACACACAAAATAAATCAGATTTTTTCAAATCACACATTAATTTGACTTCCATTGAGCGGTTAAGTTAGGATTTTAAGCATCCTGACAGCATTGATAAATGTTAAATTTCTCACATTCTGATACATATTTTATAAGGATCTGACTCACCAGGTGGTTGGTCTTGACTTATGTTTAACCTGGGTTCACTTCCCAAGTGTGAATCTGACTTTGGTTTTGGTTTCAAGGAAGGAAAGAATTTCATCATCAGCTCCGATGTAGGAGGAGGACTTCTGCTCCTCCTAGATTTGCTCAAGTCTTCTCCCTTCTTGACTGGTGCAATCTTCCTTCTTACTGTTTTGTCCAGGATGCCTACTTCATTATTAAGGTAGCACGTCTGCGGAGTCCCGTAACTAGATTCATTCCCAAGAATAACATCCTGATTACACAAATTCTCCTCAAGGTCAGTCCAAGTTCTTTCATCATCAAAGTCCATTTTACTCATACTTAGGGATGAGGATCTTGAGGGCTCAGACACTTGATGTTTGCTGCTTTCTATGATAGACTCATCGCTACTGTAATCTTTATCAGACAAATCCAGATCAACATCTCTCCTTTTATCTTCTTGAGTCCCGGTGTCCCTAAAAGGCCCCTTACCATCACAGACTTGTGGGCTATCCTCTTTGCTGCTGAAGCCCCTTTCTCTATCCTCAGTCGATGGTTTTATGGTAACATCAAGCTGCTCCTCAGAGGCAGTGCTACTGTCACTGTTCATAACACCTTCATTGTCACCTGCAATCCATTCAGTTTGATTTTCAGAAGTGCTCTTTTGGAAGGCTTTCCTAATGATTTTACAAGGCTGTTCCCTCGATTCATCAGCTGAGGACAATGAACGGTTTTGTTTGGGTGTGACTTCACACTCACGCTCCTTCTCACGTGCAGCGTGGTCCAAATCCTCACTGCAGTTACACTGACCAACTGGATCTGCCGGATTTGTCTTCTGTGGCACAGCTTTGACAGGGGTGGAAGACATCCGGTGACCTTTGTGGATCTCTTGATCCCTTTCTAAGATTTTCAGTACAAATGAGGAATTACTAGAAAATGATATTTCATCAGCGGCTTGTTCTAAAAACAAAAATTCATCTAATTCTAAATTTTCCTTTTCCTTTTCTCGTTCCCAAGTCTCTAATGTTTTCTGAAGAGAAACGTCAAGAGAAGGTTCCGAGTCTTTCACGGTCTCCCTGACAAGGCTCTTAGAAGCCAGGCAGCGGGCCGGCCCTGTTGAAAGAGGATGTCTGTCTTTATCTGGTGTCTTATTCCACCCTGTACAGCCAGTATCACAAGGTTTTGGACACTCAGGTACATTTTCTTTATTATTAGATGTAACTTTTTTTTCAAATTTGATCTGGTCTCTAAACTGCCCGTCATCACATTTCTTCCCCGTCTGTATTTTCAACCCTGATGGAGACAGACTTTTCCTGTTATTACACTTCAGCATTTTTGGCTTCTGACTGATAGTGACAGATCCCCTCCTGGTTCTAGCTTTGTTGTCCTTTTTAAGGGTAGGGTTCTCTGCACACGGTTCTTTATTTATGAGAGTGGTTTTCCGCTGGAGTTGCTGTCTATCCATTTTAAATAGAAGCTGGTCCTCAGAAGCGCTCTGGTCAGTCACTAGTTTACTTTCTTTCCCTTTCTGAAACTTAGATTTAGCATTAGTAAATCTGGCTAAACCTTCTCCTCGTTTTAAAAATGGTTGTTTCGGTTTTGCTTTGATTGGCAATGGGCCTTCTGCTTCCTAAAATAAAAGAATATTTGAATTAATTTTGGTATATCCAAGTCACCTGAAAGTTATTTTTAAAACAAATTAGATAAATCTCTAAAGCCTCAGAATGATGTAATCAAAATAGCACAATTGCTAACCCTCAGCTGTTTTTGCTTCAGTTCTTGCTCTTCCAACCGAATTTGTTCTTCTAAGTAGTCTTCAAAGGTCTGTTTCCTTTCTCTAATAGCAGCTTTAATGGGCCTAAAGAAACACAAAGTTATTTAACATGCAAATCATGATGTGTGAATATCTGACACTTTGTGTGCCTGGTATAGAAACCCTAGACTTCAGAGAGAACTAACCTTTCCCAGAATCAGTACTTCACTTTGAGAATCTAACAAAAGCCACAATCTTTCTCCACCCCTTAAATATAAGAATATACAACACTCTTCAGGTGACTTGGGAGCCCTAAGAACGCTTCTGAAGTTCATTTATCCATTACAGATTAATATGTGGAATAACATATTCATCAAATAACTTTAAAATGTATTTGAAAAATAGATTACTAACTATGCATTTTTTTAAACTAAGAAAGGCCCTTAATGTGAGTAGAGCAGTAATCAGAAAAGTCATTTTGTCCATATCATATTGAAAATTTTGAAATATATTTTTAAAATTACCTAATATTTAAAAGATAAAATACTTTAAATTTGCCATATTTTAAAATTCTATCACTGATTATGCAATTATAAATAAGTGACACCAAATGGGAGATGCCAATACTTAATATTTCCCTCTTCCAAAAAAATAGGATTTAACTATTTGAGAGAAGACTGATTTTATTCAGATGTTTCTCTTAAGTGAAAAAGCTTTGAAAATACAATGTCAAAGCAGTTTAACTGACATACCTCCCCAACCTCCTTTGTTGTCCACAGTACATAATAGGTTGTATCTTTAACCTTAAGAGTATAGTCAAACAAAAACAAGAAAAGTATGTATCTTTCAAACAAGGAAAGTGTTCTGTAACAAAGGCCAGCTATTGTACTAAATAGTCACATTTGCCACTTTTAACATGAACAATACCTTTCTTCAACATTAGCCACTTCTGAGGAATTGTCACATTTTTTAAAGTTCTTATCATTCGCTTCCTGAATCTGTTCCGTCATTTTCTCCCAACATAAAATACTTTCTCCTAAGATAAAAATTAGTAACAATTTAGCTCAAGAAAAGCATACTAATGTCTTAAAACATGAGAATTTTAAAGTTACTATGCTAAAACATATTTATTAAAAGTAACGTATGTCAAAGATTTTACAACACTCAAGGAGTTCTTTAATATAATTAAATAATTTGAGACCAGCCTGGCCAACATGGCAAAACCCCGTCTCTAGAAAAAAGATACAAAAATTAGCCAGGCGTGGTGGTGCACACCTGTAATTGCAGCTACTTGGGAGGCTGAGAGTGAGCAGAGGTTGCAGTAAGCTGAGATGGTGCACTGCACTCCAGCCTAGGCGACAGAGCTAGACCCTGTTTCAAAAATAAAAATAAAATAAAATAAAGGCACTCGACATTCTTCAAAAGGTTAATGTCATGAGAAAAAGAAGTGTGGGCTTTTCTAGTGATAAAAAGACTAAAGAGTAATAAGAATCAAATATAATACATAAACTTGACTAGATATGCATAAATTTGATTGGTTCCTTTAAAAAAAAAGGCACTTTTAAGAGACATTTTGTGATAATTGGGAAAATTCCAAAATGAACTTGAATATTAAGGAATTATAATCAATTTCCTTAGATATAATAGCACTGTGGTTATACTTGATGCATACTGAAATATTTGGAATGAAGTAACATACACTGGTAAGTATACCAGTAATCAATGCAGTGGTCTTTCAACTTTTCTAGATGTTTGAAATTTTACAAAATAAAAGGCTAGGGAAGCATATTGTATAAAAAGAAAGAAAATACATTTGAGCTTTCCATACCAAGGAATTAATCCTAAATTAGGAACAAGGCATTATGGCTAGGTGCAGTGACTCAGATCTGTAATCCCAGCACTTCGGGAAGCCAAGGCAGGCAGATCACTTGAGGCCAAAAGTTTGAGACAAGCCTGGGGAACCTGGTGAAACCCATCTCTACTAAGAAGTCACAAAATTCTCTGGGCATGGTGGTGCATGCCTGTAATCCCAGCTACTTGGATGACTGAGACATGAGAATCACTGGAACCCTAGAGGCAGAAGTTGCAGTGAGCTGAGATCATGCCACTGCACTCCAGCCTGGGTGACAGAGCAATACTCTGTCTCCAAAAAAAGGCCACAGGGGACAAAAAAAAACACACATACACAGAAAGAGCTGGCAGGGCAGCACATGCCTATAGTCCCAGCTACTTGGGAGACTGAGGGGGCACAGATTGCTTGTGCCCGGGAGTTTGAGTCCAGCCTGAGCAACACAGCAAAGACTCCATCTCTGAAAAAATAATTTTTAAAGAAAAAACACAGAAAAGCCTTATCATAGGACAACTTAGTAACACTATGAGTGAAGTCGGGAAAAGAGAAACAGAAGTAGCTCACCTGCAGGATAGTTACGGTTTTCTTCTTTTAAACTGTTTTTTTCCACAGGTACTTCTTGATACTGTGCCTCAGAAAATAAATTAGGAGAAGCATTTTTTGAAGTTAAAACAAAATCTTCATGAGCAGTTCTACAGAATTTGCCTTGCTCATGGGATAAAATGTTGGAGGCGTATGTTTCTTCCTGGGCTGGGTCTGGATAGATGTATGATGGGAAGCAGCGTGTGGTTCTCTCCCCAGTGGTGGCATTTCCTGGATATCTGTGCTTTTGGCTCTGATCATCAGGCAGTAAACTCAAACCTTAAATTAAGAAAAGCAAAGCTGATGACTTCCTTCAACATTTTGTCTTTTCTCCCCAGGAGTGATCCCATCCCACAAAAGGCTTCTCCACAGTGACAAAAGTATTTTTTTCCTTTATTCGGATGTGGTATTTAACAAAACCATGAAACATGATTGATTGACTGATTGTTTGAGACAGTTTCACTCTGTCGCCCAGGCTGAAGTGCGGTAGTGTGATCTTGGCTCACTGCAACTTCCACCTCTCGGGTTTGAGTGATTCTCATGCTTCAGCCTCCTGAGTAGCAGGGATTACAGGCGCCCACTACCACGCCGGGGTAATTTTTTGTATTTTTACTAGAAATGGGTTTCGCTTTGTTGCCCAGGCTGGTCTCAAACTCCTGAGCTCTGGCAATCTGCCTGCTTTGGCTTCTCCAAATGTTAGAGTTACAGGTGTGAGCCACCACACCTGGTCAAAATCATGAAACTTTTAAATTCCAAAGTGACTTTCATATAGTTTTAAATAAGAATATATTTAGATACGGCTTCCGTGCAGATGGCACGGGCATGGCAGAGCTGCAGCTGCCTAACCCCTGTTCCATGTGTGAGAACATGCAGGTGTCAACTCTGCAGCCCTGCAATCAGCAAGTCAGACCCGGAGCACCCATGCAGACAGTGATGTGAGTGACCTAAGCTGTTCCGTAGTTACCAAAAGCTGCCCTTCAGAATTTTGGTATCATTGGGTGATGGAAGCTGAATTTTCCTTTTTGTATTTTTCTCTAGTTTCTTTTTCTTTTCTTTTTTTGATATGAAGTCTCACTCACTCTGTTGCCCAGGCTGGAGTGCAGTGGCAAAATCTCGGCTCACTGCAACCACTACCTCCCAGGTTCAAGTGATTCTCCTGCCTCAGCCACCTGAGTACTTGGGACGATACGCACAGGCTACCACACCAGCTAATTTTTGTTATTTTTAGTAGAGACGAGGTTTCACCATGTTGGCCAGGCTGGTGTTGAACTCCTGACCTGAAGTGATTCACCCGCCTCGGCCTCCCAAAGTGCTGGGATTACAGGCGTGAACCACCGTGCCTGGCCCTTTTCTCTAGTTTCTAAATTTCCTGTATTTTTTTTGTCTGTTCTGCTTCTTAAGTCTCTGCTTTTGAATTAACCCAGTAAACACAGAGGAGGTTCTTCTCTCCATCTCTAAGCCACACTTCTGAAAGGGCACTGGCAGGCAGTGCCTCACTGAACATCAGCTTCAACCTTAATTTGACCTTAATTAAAGTCAGGCAGGGCCTCACTGAACATCAGCTTCAACCTTCCTTCCTTCCTCACAACCCCTTCCCCAATCTAAACATTTCTGACTGACAGTCATCCCACTTCAGCCTGAAGTGGTCTTTGATGAAAGTAATATCCTAAAGCACTGTTCTCAGTCTTGGGGCATCTACTAGGTCACAATTACTTTCATAAAATATGCACTGATGGTGCAAATGCAAAATAAAAAACTTCTGGTGCCTTCTTCAAAGCAGGACAGAAGCACCCAGAGTCCCAATAGCGGTTGTTTGTCAGCACCATGCACGCATAGTTTAAAAAAAAGTTTTGGCTGGGCGCAGTGGCTCACGTCTGTAATCCCAGCACTTTGGGAGGTGGAGGCGGGTGGATCACAAGGTCAAGAGATCGAGCCCATGTGGCCAACATGGTGAAACCCCATCTCTACTAAAAATACAAAAATTAGCTGGGCATGTTAGTATGTGCCTGTAGTCCTAGCTACTTGGGAGGCTCGGGCAGGAGAATTGCTTGAACCCAGGAGGCCGAGGTTGCAGTGAGTCAAGATCGCGCCACTGCACTCCAGCTTGGGTGATAAGAGACTCCGTTTAAAAAAAAAGTTTTACTTAAGAATGTCCTGGCCGGACATGGTGACATGCCTGTAATCCCAGCACTTTGGGAGGCCAAAGTAGGAGGATCACCTGAGGCCAGGAGTTCAAGACCACCATAACATGGTGAAACTCTGTCTCTATTAGAAATACAAAAAATTAGCCAAGTAAGGTGGTGCAGGCCTGTAGTCTTAGCTACTTGGTTGGCTGAGGCAGGAGAATTGCTTGAACCCAGGGGGTTGCAGTGAGTTGAGATTGCACCACTGCACTCCAGCCTGGGCCTGGGCAACAGAGTGACAATTTCATTAAATCTCGACTTTTAAGTACACGTCTTTTGAACATTCTGTGGGACAAAAGGGGAAGTATGCACAAATTGCCTCTGCTCCAAAATGACGTTCAGGAAACCATTCAGGGAACACCATTTTTACTTGAAAGAATGAATGACAGACAAACTATGATTATTTAAATCTGGGTATCTGGCAGGCATTTTCTCAAAAAAGAAACAAGTAAGCCAGTCACTTCAAAGAAAATGACAGTCATCTGTTGCCAATGATAAAATCTGATCTTTCAAATAAAAATTAGAATTTTGCAAAGCATGTTCACCACCATAAGCTTGAAAGCTGTATTAGCAATACTTCAAGACTGTTTAGATGTGATTGGTAGTGATAATAATGAATGCCATTTTTGATACTGTTGTATAATGAAATATATCAACATTTTGAAGACCTACATAATTCAGTGAACCACTATTTTCCAAGTGACCAGTGCTCCAAAAACACGCACCATAAAAAATTCATTCAAAATGTCAAGATATTCAATATATTTGTATTATATTTTAATGTAAGAGTATAAAAAGTTCATTAAGACAGTTTTAGATTCCATATGGCAAATAACTGCCATAAAATGACCACTTGTTAAGGTGCAAAACCAAAGAGTAACCACAGTTATCTGAAAGAGCTATTAAAATACTCCTCTTTTCCAATTATATATCCATGTGAAGCCAAAATTTTTCACATAACATAGAGACAGAATGCAAAAGTAGATAGGAAAATCAGCTGAGTTCTTTCAAGCCCAAATTTAAAGTTTCAAAAATAAAAACACTATTGTTCTTTTATGCTTTAGAAAAGAAACATTCATTTCAAAATGTTATTTTTATAACATGTAATTGGTTTATTATCATTTTAAGCAAATTAATTTTTAAATGTCTCAGTTTTAATTTCTTTTTTTTTTTTTGAGATGGGGTCTCACTCTGCCACCTAGGCTGGAATGTACTGAATGTACTGGCACAGTCTCGGCTCACTGCAATCTCCGCCTCCTGGGTTCAAGTGATTCTTGTGCCTCAGCCTCCTGAGTAGCTGGGATTACAGGAGTGTGCCACCACACCCAGCTAATTTTTTACATTTTTTAGTACAGATGGGGTTTCACCATGTTGGCCAGGCTGGCCTTGAACTCCAGACCTCAGGTGATCTGCCTGCCTTGGGCTCCCAAAGTAGTGGGATTACAGGCGAGAGCAACCATGTCCAACTTGTTTAAATTTCTAATACAGTAAGTTATTGATAAACACAGCCCATATAACAAAAGTTCTTTGGGGTCCTCAAAAATTTGAGAATGCTAAGGGGTCCTGAGACCAAAATTTGAAAACCACTGCCCCAAAGCAAAGTGCTCTATGACTGAATAAAGCTAGTTCTTATGTAAATAACTTTGAAATCAGCTTCCCTGTCATTCTGCCACAGTGCTGGTTCTACCTTTAAAAGTATCACTGCTGTTTTTTTTTTCTTGAGATGAGTTTCATACTGTCTCCGGGCTGGAGTGCAGTGGTACAATCTCCGCTCACTGCAACCTCTGCTTCCCAGATTCAAGCAATTCTGCCTCAGCCTCCCGAGTAGCTGGGATTACAGGTGCCTGCCACCACGCCCAGCTAATTTTTAAAATATTTTTAATAGAGATGGGGTTTCACCATGTTGGCCAGGCTAGTCTCGATCTCCCGACCTTGTAATCCGACTGCCTCGGCCTCCCAAAGTGCTGGGATTACAGGCGTGAGCCACCACGCCTAGCCAACTTGCTACAATTTCTCATGACCACACCCGACTCAAACCCTATACCCAGACTCCCTCACTTGCCAAGTCTTTTTTTTCCTTGTATTCCCAATGCCCAGCACAATCTCGGAGCAGAACAGTGCTTTCCTGAGTCAGTAAAGTATATTTCTCAAAAGTAGCACCAAGAAGCAAGCACATGGCTCCAACTTCAGTTTTTCAAAATGTGAGACACAATCCGTAATAATTTTATCATCAGATGCAGCATTTTAAAAAATGATATAGAATTAGAATAAACAAGATAGAAAATGTCCTTACTACATGCCAGGAACGCCAATAAGGACTGATGACATCACTGCTCCAGGTCACATTTCCAGTTTTCTTTCCTGATTAGCACACAGTGCTTTCTGTTAACTGATGAGTCACACTACCATGTTAAGTACCTTTGGTATGGTTCTGCAGTTGAACAGAGTGGCTTCTGCATATACCTTATGACACCCAACAGTTTTCATTCATCAGGCAGGAGTTAGATACCAGTAGTAGCTCTAGGCCAAATCTGGCTTTTCCTCTATTGATCCTTTTTTAGGGGAACAGGGTCTCACTCTGTTGCCCAGGCTAGAATGCAGTGGTGCCATTATAGCTCACTGCTGCAGTCTCAAATTACTGGGCTCAAACAATCCTCCCACCTCAGTCTCCAGAGTAGCTAGGACTAGAAGCATGGACCACAGCACCCAGCTCATCTTTTTTTTAACGAATAAACATGAATGCCTTACAGTAGGGCATGTGCACACCAGAATGCCACAGCTCCTTCTTGTACCAGTTATATTACACCTCTACCATTTCACCTTGTCTTCCTGGCCCTTAAACAAACTGGAGTTCATAACATATGATACAGGAAGTTATAAATAACCTATCAAACACATACACATCAGAAACGTATGTAACTATTTCTCATTGCACTGAGGCCCTGTGTAACCAAAGCATACCTGGAAGTGTGCACTGCCCAGACACCATGGTGAGTAGCTTCTCTTGTTCCTCCATGAGTCTTTGTAGTTGCTCCAACTGTTGCCTCTTTAATTGTTCCTGCTTCTTCTGTTGTACTTCCTTCAGCTTTTATTTTTAATATAAAATTAATTTTATCAAATCAACTTTACATTTCTTCATGGACCCCTTGTTCCCTTAATTCCTTCCATCTCCCCCCTCCTATCTTCCCTGGTAAGAAGTTTTAGAGAGGGATTCCTAGGTAACTAAATTGGTTACTAAAAATCTAAAACTCAAATCCTTACGAAGGAAATAATATCAACTATCTCAACTAAGAACACAAAAAAGCCATATAAATCCTTTGACTGTTAAAATAGGATGGTATCAGTACATCCACTTTTTCTTCCTAATACTTGATCAAACATTTCTTACTTTTTGCCAAATGAGGTAACAACTTAAAGTTATCATAAGTGCTATAGTTATATCTTATATATTAAACATACTTCAATGTTTCACATTAGACAAAGGGCAAAATCTGGTATTCTGAGGATTTCAGAGTGAAGGGGAAAAAACAAGAAGACCTAGAATAGATGACTTTATTACATAAATAGAAACCTGCAACGACATAAATTCATAGTAGGCCAAATCCTATCGTACCTGTTCAAGTTTTTTAAAAAGTGGGTCTTTATAAGCCACTTCTTTGACTTGATTTGCAATATCTGGGATGAAGTCATTTTTGTTTTCTTCCTGGAGCCCAGAAGCATTGTGACATGCCACTATCTGTAGTCCCTTTTTAATGCAAGGAAAACCTGTGTGGGTTTCAGATTTATCTGACTGTGGTTTGTAAGGGCTGTTTGACTCTGACTTCTGTTCTTCATGAAGTGAATCTTCTTCACTTATAAAGGTGAAGCTATCAGAAAAATGTGTGCCTTGAACAGGAAAGCTGGTAGAAATGTCCACAGCTGCTCGCTTCTCTTCGTCTGCTTCCAAAATAGGAAATCCACGATTTAATATGACCCCAGCCCGAGAAGGACTGGTCATCCACTGGGTTAGGAAGTTCTGCCCACTGTTTAACTCTGAAGAGGTTGGCATCAGGAACATCTCAGTCCAATGGCACTATTATATTTAAACAATGCAGAAGCTAGAAGAGCTGTTGATTTCTAACACCTATAGACAAATATAGTCAACAAAATGTATTAGTTAAAGTCATTAGATGTCTTACCCAAAATGAGCCCAAACCTCAACCCAACACAAAAATGTCCTCAGTATTTCATATACAAAAGACCTTAACTAGCAAAGCAATTGGGCATTAAGCTACATTTTTTAAGTCTTAAAAATAATCAAATTGAGTAGATCAAAAACCTAAGATCCTTTTTGACCTAACCATTCAATTACTAATAATTTTATGCAAGTGCTAGACTAGTTCAACTAAACTATGGAAGATAAAATGCCTTTTAAGTTATTCACTTATGGGGAAAAGAAAAAGCCACTATCAGATATTATCACACTAAGCACTTTCCTGCTTTTGGCCCTAGTCTAACATTGCTTCTTTGTCCTAGTTCTAGAACAAAAGTCACCAGCACTACCCGTGGCTTTACCTGGCACTGTTTCACCTGTCCCTTCCTTGTCCATCTCCCTTTTAACACCTTGCCCACGAGACAGCCCCTCAACTGTCTTCCTAGAGGTAAAATAATGACATTACTCTTCTAGCATTCATCTCATTTAGTGGTATTTTACTTTTATGTTCGATACCAATCCATGGAGTTCCTTAAAGATATGTGTATATTCACTACTGCCAAGCACCATGCCTGGCACATAGGAGAAATGTAATTCTTATGGCATGAGACAATAAAAATTACATTGGCTTATGCCATAACTCTGTATATCAGACTTTAAAATTGGCCAAATTCCTAGTGTAACTTTGCCACTGTGTGATAGATAAACAGAGAAAATAAGCTTTTCCTCTGTGTGTATCTGATTTGACTCAACTAACATTTATTGAGTTCTTACTCTGTGCCAGACATTGTTTTCCGCTCTGGATACACAGCAGTTCAGAAATCAGAATCTAGTGGGGGAACACACACACACACCAATTATACAGTATGTTAAATAGTAATAAGTTCAAGGGGGAAAAATAAAAGCCATGTTGGAAAAGGAGGTTGCAAGTTTAGGCAGGGTCCTCATTTAAAAGGTAAAGTTAAGGATCAGGGGAAGGAGAAGGCGCAAGTTGTGTGGCTGTCAGGGGCAGGGTAAGACCCAGCCACCTGGCTGTCCTAACCATCTGCAGGACACTACCACTGACACCCCATTCCTCCAGAAACCTCAGTTCTTAAAGCCCATCACCATTATCTACCTGTTTAAACCTATTACATCACTCACTATGGAAGGGCCTGAGATCCAGAGCCAGGCTTCACCTCTCACACACTAATCCCCACACTTTATTCTGCTCCATCTCCCAAGCATCCAAGCCCCAAAACACTCACAGTCCATCATCAGCAAAATCCCCATTATCCTCAACCTCTTCTCTGAGCACTCCCTCACCTTCCTGAGAACATTTGTTTCTATGGAACCCATACTCTAGTACCACTGAGTCTGAAGACAAAACATGTATTCTTTTTCTTTTCTCCTTCAGACTACTCTCCTTTTCTAGACCATAAAACATAAATTTATGGCCAGGTGCGGTGGCTCATGCCTGTAATCCCAGCACTTTGGGAGGCCGAGGTGGGTGGATCACCTGAGGTCAGGAGTTCAAGACCAGCCTGGCCAAACATGGTGAAACCCCAACTCCACTAAAAATACAAAAAAATTAGCTGGGCATGGTGGCAGGTGCTACTCAGGACACTGAGGCAGGAGAATTGCTTGAACTTGGAAGGCGGAGGTTGCAGTGAGCCAAGGTTGTGCTATTGCACTCCAGTCTGGGCAACAGTGTAAAATTCCATCTCAAAAAAAATAAAAATCAAACAAAAAAACACGGAAAAGAGGCAAAAAGTGTAGTGTCTTTGAGGCTACGTGATGAAAGTGTTTCAAAGAGGAAAGAGACGAAGGGAAAGGAGAACTGAGAACTGACCTCTGAATGTGGCAAAGCAAAGGTCATAAGAACTTCAATGAGAGCAGCTTGGGGCAGGGAGAGCAAAAGCTTGAGTGGAGAGGATACGCGACAATAAGAATCTGAAGAGAGCAGGCACAGCTAACGCTAAAAGTTCTGTTATGAAGGAAGGAAATACATAGAAAAGTAAGATGAAGAGGAGTATTTTTTACAACAGGAGAAATACAAGCATGTTTGTAGGCTGATGAGGATGAAGAAGGGGGAGAATTGCTACAATCACTGAGGAGATGGGAAGAGTGTAGTACCGAGGCTGAATGACATCTCACACTACTTTTCAGACACAATTCTACTTTATCAATATAACCGAAGGAAAATGACTGATAAAAAGGCAATGTAGAGGCAAACAAACATGTACGTCACTTCATACTTGGTGTCTAAAAGACATAAACATATAAAAATATAAACAGAAAAAGAAATACAGATGCCAAAACATTAAAACATGCTCATTCTCCCTCCACTGAAGAAATGGAAATTAAAACAGTAACAACATTACCATTTTTTTCCCACATTGGGTTGGCAAAGACTAAACACCGGTAATACACAGTATGACAGGAACTCTTTTTTGCTTGTGTTCATCTGTTTTTCATCATTCAGCCTGAAGAAACGCTTTCATGAAGTGCTTACTGAGCAAATAAACTGGTACAACATTTGAAGGACAATATGACAATATCTAGCCAACTGTAAATGCAGAGGAACTTTGACTCAGCAATTTCACATCTAGGCATTTTGTCCCACAGTTATATTTGCATCAACTCACATTTGCAACAAACTGAAAATAAATGTCCATTATCAGAAGATCAGTTAATCATGGTAATCATATTATGCAAGAGCTAAAAAGAACAAGTAGGCCAGGCGAGGTGGCTCACACCTGTAATCCTAGCACTTTGGGAGGCCCAGGTGAGTGGACTGCCTGAGCTCAGGAGTTCGGGACCAGCCTGGGCAACACTGTGAAACCCCATCTCTACTAAAATACAAAAAAATTAGCTGGGCGTGGTGGCAAGTGCCTGCAATCCCAGTTACTTGGGAGGCTGAGGCAGGAGAATTGCTTGAATCCAGGAGGCGGAGATTGCAGTAAGCCGGGATCACACCATTGTACTCCAGCCTGGGCGACAGAGGGAGGCTCAGTCTCAAAAAAAAAAAAAAAAAAAAAAAGAAAAAAAAGAAGTAAGCTCTTTACCGATACTGAAGTAGTGAATATATCCAAGATATGTTGCTTGTTAAAAAGCACACAGCAGTGTGTATTATAAGAAATAAAGACAAAAAAATTATAATTACATGGATCTATGCATCTAGTACAGTAGCCATTAGTCACCTGCGGCTACTGAGGCAAGACTCCGCCTCAAAAAACAAACAAACAAACAAAAAGAAGTATGAACAATGTTTAAAATTTAAAACAAAGGTACACTATGAAAGAATCAAGTGGAGATGCAGAAGCTTGTACTACAGCCAGAACAGTGAAGGAAAAAAGACTGGAAGGGGGCGTCTACAAGTTTCATACCAAACAGCAACCGCAATTTGCCGCGGCAAAGCAAATAGAAAAAATTATATAAAAAAATAACTAATAGTAAGAGACATTTTTAGCAAAAACACAATAATTTTTATAAGTTTATTCTCAATAATAAAAAAATTGATATGCAATTGACCCCTGAACAACACAGTAGGATTAGGGGGACCAACCTCACATGCAGTTGAAAATCTAGGTGTAACTTTGACTTCCCCAAAACTTAACCACTAATAGGCTACTGTTCACTGGAGGCCTTATAGATAACAGTTAACATATATTTTGTATGTTATTTATATTATATACAGTATTTTCACAAATAGTGTAAGCTAAAGAAAAAATATTAAGAAAATCATAAAAAATATATTTACTATTGGTTAAGTGGAAATGAATCATCATAAAGGTCTTCATTCTCGGTGTCTAAAAAACATAAACATCTAAAAGATATGCAGGAAGACCTTTATGATAATCTGCTTCCACTTAATGAACAGTAAAGGTGTTCATGTCACTAGTCCTCACATTGGACTAAGCCGAGGAGCGAAGAGGAGGAAAAAGGGTTGATTTTGCTGTCTCAAGGGTGAAAGAAGCATAAGTAAATCCAAGCATAAGCAAAACCACAAAGTTGAAATTCATGTTTTGCAAGAGTCAACTGTAATTAGTCATCTGTATCAGAACTAAATATCCAACAACAAAAAAAAAGTTTTATAATTTTCAACAGAATCTGAGCTTTTAGCTTTGGCCAGTGATAAAAAATCTTGGAAAGAAAGACGGTGAGGAGGAGAAAGAGAGAAATGAAAAGAAAAACAAATTCTTTCAGATGAAGAGAAGGTAAATAGGTTATCTGAGTTGCAGAAATTTTGTTAGAACATTGTGAAATTTAAAAAGATATTTTAATTAAAAGGCTAAAGATATTTTCCAAAAAGTGAAAAATTTTCAACTAAGTGACCAGTTATCCATAGAACCCTTCTATTACCATCCAGATTCAAAGCTGTAAAAAATTCCAAGCACTTTTCTTTATCTGTGTAATGCAATGAGAAACTGACCAATTACCAATTTAGGTATGTTTTATTTCAAAGATCATCTGAATGTGCAAAGAGATGATATCAACTCAAAGCCTAAAAATTGAACCTGTAGCATGGATGTGTCTTGTACTCACTCTGTCATCCAAGCTCAAGTGCAGTGGCATGATCATGGTTCAATGCAGCCTCTACCACCCCCAGGCCCCAGAGATCCTCCTACCTCAGCCTCGAGTAGCTAAGACCACAGGCATATGCCACCACACCCAGCTAATCTTTCAATTTGTTGTAAAGAGTGGTCCCCCTATGTTCCCCATGCTGGTCTCGAACTCCTGGGCTCAAGCCATTCTCCCACCTTGGCTTCCCAAAGTGCTGGGATTATAAGTGTGAGCCCTTGCACCCAGTAGTTTGTGTCTGATAGAAGAATTTCAGCTAGATCTGAAAACATTCGTTTCTTTTTTGTTTTTCTGAGACAGGGTCTCACAATGTCTCTTACGCCAAAGTGCAATGGCACAATCATGGCTCACTGCAGCTTCAACCTCCTGTGCGTAGACCTCTAGGCATCTAGAGTAGCTGGGACTACAGGTGTGCACTACCATGCCCGGCTAATTTTTATTTTTATATTTTTATGTATTTTTTAATTTTAAAGACAGGGTTTCACCATGTTGGTCAGGCTGGTCTTGAGCTCCCAACCTCAGGTGATCCACCCACCTTGGCCTCCAAAGTGCTTGGATTACAGGCATGAGCCACCACATCTGGCAATTTTTTTTTTTTGTAGAAACAGGTGTCTCTCTGTTGCTCAGGCTTATTTTGAACTTCTGGGCTCAAGCCATCCTCCTACCTCAGCCTCCCAAATTGCTAGTATTACAGGTGTGAGTCATTGTGCCCAGCCTAAAAACCAGTTTCTAATATGAATGGTATCATTTTATAAGACAAAAAAAAATCTGAATTTAATAGGATTTTACAACAAGAGGCTACTGTTTCCCTTGCTGATTCATTTCCCTGTATAATACACATTGGAAATTCTTGTGTTCAGTTTTCTGAAGCATAATCCATGTATCATGAATATAGCTGTTAAAACTGTTCAGTATGTACAAATGCTATCAACTGCCAGTTTATAAAACTGTTAAAAGAAATAGAAGACAGTGAACTTAATGATGCTGTGTTTCTGCCATTGCTCCCTGGTTGAATTGTAGAAAAGTTTTTTTGTTTGTTTTTTGAGACAGTCTTACTTTGCCACCAGCTGGAGTGCAGTGGCATGATCTTGGCTCACTGCAACCTCCGCCTCCCAGGTTCAAGCAATTCTCTGCCTCAGTCTCCTGAACTGCTGTGATTATAGGCACCTGCCACCACAGCCGACTAATTTTTTTGTATTTTTAGTAGAGACAGAGTTTCACCATATCGGCCAGGCTGGTCTTGAACTCCTGACCTCGTTATCCACCCACCTTGGCCTCCCAAAGTGCTGGTGTGAGCACTGCATCCAGCCTAGAAGAGTTTTATAAAGGCTCACTGTACCATTAATTCCAACTGAAAATTTGCTTGGAACAAGATGATTGCCTGCCAACCATTTAATAATCAAAAACGAAAATGGCAATGTGATGTACATTTTTTCACTGTATCACACTTTGAGAACCACAGCTATGCAGGCATTTAAAAAAAAACAAAAACAAAAATTGCTGCCACAGGCAGTAACAAAAACAAATAATGATGTGTGAACATCAGACAAACATATATGTTTCCTTTTTTTTTTTTTTGAGACGGAGTCTCACTCTGTCACCCAGGTAGGAGTGCAGTGGTGCGATCTTGGCTCACTGCAACCTCAGCCTCCCAGGTTCAAGCAATTCACCAGCCTCAGACTCCAGAGTAGCTGGGACTACAGGCATGCACTATCATACCCAGCTAATATTTTTGTATTTTTGGTAGAGACAGGGTTTTACCATGTTGGTCAGGCTGTACTCAAACTCCTGACCTCAAGTGATCCACCTGGCTTGGCCTCCCAAAGTGCTGGGATTACAGGTGCCAGCCACCGCACCCAGCCCATGTTTCCATTTATATGAACCGGAAGAACAGGCAAAATAAACCCATAGTTATAAAAGGCATATTGGTGGTTATCCAGGAAAATGGGGGCTGTCCTGTGTGAAAGTTGATCATATGAATTGGGTCATTCTTGTCATATCCAAATAAACAATCAAGAAGTCAAGAGGGAAAGGCACTCAGGACGCATAACTTTGCTCCAATTACGGAATTCTCTGCAAGTTGGTATGGTGAAACTGCCTGTTGTAACGTGAGACCAGTTTGATTTACAGATGCTGAGGTAACTTGCTGCAGCTCTAGAACTAATTCTGCCCACCACCTTGGCCCACTCGGTAGGACTTGCTGCATCCCCAGCACCTTAGGAGTGCCAATGAACCAAGGAACTTTCTCAAAAAGCAACACATGTTAACAGTTCTTTATTTTATAAAACCTCCAACTTTTTCTTTGTTCTTTGGACATACTGAGGACCACCTGGTCTGTGTGTATGCCTGGAATTGTCATTCTTTCTTTCCAAATAAAACCTTAGAGATTCATCTCTAAATTTTAAACTTCAACAACTAGGAAGGTTAACACAGGGGGTGGATACATTTGGGCCGTACACTTAAGAATAGCGCACTTTACTGGATATCTGTTATTCCTGAATAATTTAAAAAATTTTTTCTAAGCAAATTAATTGACTTTTTCAGTAGGACACCTATCTAAAATAACTTTCTTTTTTTTTTTTCAAAATCAACCACGTAACTTGCTTAATTTCAATGACCTTAGCAGGAAATCTTTTGAAATCCAAATTCAGAAGAGAGTCAAGTTACAAGGTCAATTAATAACATGGAAAACTAGAAACTAAATTCCCTACTAAAATGACAAGTGCAAGTACTCTTGCGATGCAGCACCCAGACATCTGCACCCCCCGCTTCAACTCCCACCAAAAAAACCCTCTATACTTTAATCACCCTGATCCGAAAAATATATTTAATGTCAGCATGAAGTATAAAAACAGTTTCACCAGAACCTGCTATTTATTATTGATACTGAGGTCTTGGTAAAGGGAGCACTGATAATATATATGCCTAGAAAGGATTAGTATGTGGACTCTGACTTTACAGATAACAAAATCTGAAGGACACGGGTGTATGTGTATGTCAAGCTCATCAAATGGAATGCATTTAAACGTGCCATTTTTAGTGCATAGCAACTATACCTCAATAAAACTTTTAAAAAATGTAACAAATTGACAGCCTTGAAACCTGGGTGTGCTATTTAAACACTCTTTAAAGCAATATGAAAAAAAGATAAATTCTCTGCACGGTGAGGGAGGAGAGTGAATACAAACAGCAAATTCAAAGCCATCTTTAGACCGTGAAAAGTAACTAGTTGGTTTGAGAAGTGATTTGGCAGTGCCCTGAAATACAACACGTCCTTGAAAGTCACGAATCCACACGAAGCTTCAAGAATCAAGCCCTTGACAAAGCTAGGCGAGATCGGCGCTTAGGACAGCCAGCAACGCCACTTCACCACCCAGCTCCAGCGGACTGCGACCACGGCGCTGCCGCGCTGCCCACAGGAGCTCAAGCCCCGCCACAGCCAACACAGAGAGACCCTCCCTTCCAGGGTGGCCAGCTTCCCAGGCTCCGCGAAGAACAAAGCAGCGCGAATTGGCCAAGCCACCGAACTGCCGTGGACCAGCTCAGACCCCGCGCCCCGCGGAGCCAGCCTCGAGGCCCAAGCAGGGCCCTGTCCGCCCACTGCCGGCCTTCTCAGGCACTGGGCGGCTGCCCCCCGCTCCTTTCGCCCACGAATTACCGCTCCGCCAGGCGCGGGCCGCTCAGTAAGCACGAACAGACGCCTAAGACTCCAGCGCACTTACAAATCAGCCGCCACAATCACAACCTCCGGCCGGAGCCCCGCCTCCAAGAGCAGGCCCCGCCCCCGTCCCGAGGTCCTGTGGGAAGTGCGGTTCTCACCCGCCCCTCTGCGCTAAAGCGCAGGCACCGCTGAGCCCAGGTAAACTACAACTCCCAGTAACGCCACAGTGATGGGAGTTGCCCGGGAGGTGATGGACAGCGCGCCGCCTTACGACCAGCGGCGGGCCTGTGGTCGCTGTAGGCGGGCGGCGCGGCGGGACGGGAAAGCGTTTCCGGGAGAGACCTTCCGTGGAGGACGTCGCCACAGGCTCAGGCACTTAGAAAATTAAGGGGAGCACCTAAGAGAGCGATAGATCTCCGTGTTTCCAGCAAAGCAGGGAGCACAGAGACTCAAAGCTAACCTAGAGCCCGCCGGATGCTGTAGGAGGTGTTTTGGTTTTTTTTTTTCTCTATTTGCGTACGGTCTATTTTGTTGTTTTTTGGTTTGGTTGTTTTTTTTTTTTTCCCGGTCTTTGGTTTCCTCTGGCAGAGTGTGTCTTAGTAAAGGAGAAAAAGGGCAATCCACTACATCATTCCATAAGACGAATATAACCCTGTGAGAATTCACTTCAAAAATAGGCACAGCTCATCTCTCAAATGGCTAATCGGTGGTTTGGCAGAGTGTGTCTATTAGATTCTGAAACTCGTGTGGACACTGACAGTGCAGAATTCAATAAATTTTTTTTGTTTGTTTGTTTGTTTTATTAACTACCACGGCCCTTTCATCTAGGAAGTTACAGCACCGCGAGTTACCACAGTTCTATATACCTGGCTTCCGTGTCTGATTAAACAGTAAGCCAGGTAAAATGTTTAAAGAAATCAAAAGCCGTTTATAACCGTTATAACTGAAACAACGACCACTAGTTAAAAACAAAACTATTTTACAGAAATTTGGCCTCCAAAATTTGTTTTGCTTTCTACTTCAAAGAGTCTTCTTTCCTAAGGCAAGATTTTGATTTTGCTTCTTTTTTGTTTTCATTACAGGTGAGGAAGCTAAAGCCCGAGACTTCCAAGATCACACAACCACTTAATATGCCAGACAAGGACCCAACCTTCTTTTTCATTTATGACAGCCCTTTGGCTTGAAGCATGCCGGAAGGTCTCATCGTTCTTCCTAAAATATGTGTCATTGAGGATAGTCACAATATTTCCTATATTTTTATTCTAATATAGTATGTAGTACCACATTGTTGATTGAATAAATAAATGAATCTTTTACCACACTCAAGTCTAAACTGGCTGTTAAATTAAGGTTCTAATATGTAAGTTTTCACCTGTAGCCCATGTAATTCTCGGAACTGCCCACTAAGCTTGCAGGGTCCAAATCCATTAAAAGGTGGAAAGGCTAGTGGGGAGGAACTTCTGGTTTCTAATCTGCCAGACAATGAAAGGTTCAACCTTATCAGTGACTCCTATCCTTGTTGCATCTTCAGATAGTGCTGTAGAGAAAAATTAGACTAACAGTGAGGCACAGGGCTTTTAATGATAGATTATCTGTTCTGATACAATCCTTTATGCCATCGTAGGAGGCAAGAAGGCACTCCTGTGTCATGGTTAAGAGCCCAGGATTTGGAGTCAGGCAGACTTGTGATCAAATCCTAGCTTGATAACTTACATACACCTTTGTGGGCTTCAGCACTCAACTTTTCTGAAACCAGTCTTCTCATCTGCAAAACAAGGATGGATAATAATGAGACCTTCATAGGACTGTCAAGAAGATTACATTAAAAGAGTAGTATGAAAACATGGCATAAAACCTACCACATAATAAAAAGTCAGAACAGGAGGTGTTTTCGTGTTTATCATGAATTTAACTGTTGGTGAACTCTGTCTACCAAAGCCTGGCTCTGTGGGTCATGCCAAATGCTGTGCAAGATACACAATAAATAAAGAGCATCAGCATAAGAATTTACACCAAGTAATGGGCAAAACAGCCAGCTAACATCAAATGGCAGTAATAAAACTCACATACATTATTATTAATCCTAAATTTAAATCGACTAAATCCCCAAATCAAAAGACACAGCCAAAACCCATTGGTATGCTGCATCCAGACCCATCTCTCACGCAAGGATACATCTCTCATGCAAGGATACATCTCTCATCCAAGGATACATCAGGGCTAGTTTAGCCAAGGGATGATCCCCAACCCCAGATGATCTAGGCTAGAAAGGGGAACTCCAACAGGTTGAGGAGATGCACGTGTCTGGCCTCTAGGCAAACTCAAGAAAACCCACACCCTACTTCACCTGCAGAGTGAAGGAGTTCTTCACCAAAGCCCAAAACAGATTTCTAAAATTACTTCAGTAAAGTTTCTATTTTTTTTTTGGAGAGAGTTTCACTCTTATTGCCCAGGCTGGAATGCAGTGATGCGATCTCAGCTCACTGGAACCTCAGCCTCCCAGGTTCAAGTGATTTTCCTGCCTCATACTCCTGAGTAGCTAGGATTAAAGGCACAAGCCACCACACCTGGCCAATTTTGTATTTTTAGCAGAGACGGGGTTTCTCCATGTTGGTTAGGCTGGTCTTGAATTACTGACCTCAGGTGATCCATCTTCCTCCACCTACCAAAGTGTTGGGATTACAGGTGTGAGCCACTGCGCACAGCTAGTAAAGAAGTTTATAACAACAATTTGGGTGCCAAGAGACATTTTTTAAATCTTGGCATTTTGATATAGGTAAATCTATTACTGGTGCATTGAACTTTCAGCAAAAGATCCTGGAAACCTTATGGGTCTATACAACAAAGGGATTATCACATCCACTACATTCTAGAATGCCTGACCAATGATGTTGAATAGACAGTAAAGGATTTCTAGCTTGAATCTTAGATGTGATACCAGCAGAGCAATACCATAATAGTTGTCACACCTGTATTTTTGCTTTCTTAAAAAATAGCAATAATTATATAGTAGTTTTCTTCAAGGATTCTATAGGTTTATATCACATATTTTTTTCTGTAAGACGGGATGTCTCTATCACCCATGCTGGAGGGCAGTGGTGCAATCACAACTTACTGTAGCCTCAACCTCCAGGACTCAAATGGTCTTCCCACCTCAGCCTCCCAGAGAGCTGAGACCACAGGCAAGTGTCACCCACCACGCCCAGCTAATTTTTGTATTTTTTGTAGAAATGGGGTTTCACCATGTTGCTCAGGCTGGTCTTGAACTCCCAAGCTCAAGCAATCCACCTGCCTCAGCTTCGCAAAGTGCTGGGAAGACTGTGCCTGGTCTCTCCATTGTTTCTGCATGTCAGTTTTGACACATATAGAATTCATGGTTGCCAGTTTGTTTGTTTTCTTTCAGCACTTTATATCATCCCACTGCCTTCTGGCCTCCATGGTAACAAATTGGCTGTTAATCTTATGGAAGGTCCTTTGTGGGTAGTGATCATTTCTGTCTAGCTGCTTTTAAGCCTCTCTGTCTTTGGCTTTCAATAGTTTATTAATATAATGCTATTGTGGACTCTTTGAATTTATGACACTTGAAGTTCATGGAGCTTCTTGGAAGTGTTACATTATGCCTTTTATCAAATTGGGACTTTGGGGCCACTGTTTCTTCAGCTACTCTTCCTGCCCCTTTCACTCTCTTATTTTTTTCTGGGACTTCCATTATACTTATGTTGGTACACTTGATGGTATCCAGAAATCTTTTGGACTTTGTTCCTCATTCTTTTACTTTCTGCTCTTTAGACTTAATAATTTCAATTGTTTTATCTTCAAGTTTGCTCATTCCTTCTTTTACCTGCTCAAATCTGTTAAGTATCACTTGTGAAATTTTTCATTTAAGTTATTGACCTTTTATTTTTCTTTTCTTTAGAGACAAGTTGTTGCTCTGTCACACAGGCTGGAGTGCAGTAGTGTGATTATAGCTCACTGCAGCCGTGAACTCCTGGGCTCAAGTAATCCTCCTGCCTTAGCCTCCTGAGTAGCTAGTCCCACAGGCATGCACCACCATGCCATTAATTTTTTAATTTCTTTATAGAGATGGGGTCTTGTTATGTTGCCAAGACAAACTCTTAGCCTCAAGCAATCCTCCCGCCTTGGTCTTCCATGGCGCTAAGTTTACAGGCATGAGCCACTATGCCTCATCCTATGTACTTTTTAACTAGACAATTTCTCTTTGGTTCTTTTCAATTCCAAAACTTCTGTTTGGTTCCTTTTATACTTTCTATCTCTTAATTAATAATCTTTGTTTTTTAAATAATTTCAACTTTTAGAGTCAGAGGGTAAATTGCACGTTTGTTACCTAGGTATAATTCATGGTGCTGAGGTTTGGGATATGGCTGAACCCCTCACTCAAGTACTGAGCATAGTACCCAATAATTTTTCAACCCTTGCCCCTCTCCCTCACTGCCTCTCCATCTAGTAGTCCCCAGTGTCTGTTGTTGCCATCTTTATGTCCCTGAGTACCCAGTGTTTAGCTCCTACTTACAAATGAGAACATGCGGTATTTGGTTTCCTCTTCCTTCATTAATTCACTTAGGACAATGGCTTTCAGTCGCATCCATGTTGCTGCAAAGGACATGATTCCACTCTTTTTATGGCTTCATATTATCCCATGGTGCATATGTACCACATTTTCTTTATCTAATCCATTATTGATGGGCACCTAGGTTGATTCCATGTCTTTATTGTGAATAGCGCTGTGATGTGCTGTGATGAACATACAGTATGTGTGTCTTTTTGGTAGGATGAGTTCTTTTCTTTTGGATGTGTGCCCAGTAATGGAATTGCTGGGTCGAATGGCAGTTCTGTTTTCAGCTCTTTGAGATATCTCCAAATTGCTTTCCACAGTGGCTGAACCAATTTACATTCCCAACGACAGTGTATAACCATTCCCTTTTCAGTGCAGCCTTGCCAGCATCTGTTGTTCCTTGACTTTTAAATAATAACCGTTCTGACTGGTGTGAGATGGTATTTCACTGCAGTTTTGATTTGCACTTCTCTGATGTTTAGTGATGTGGAGCTTTTCTTCATGTTTGTTGACCATTTGTATATTCTTTTGCATATTCTCTATTTGTCGAGACCTTGCTCTCCTGGTTGTTTCTTTCCATCCTTTTTCTATGTTTTCTTTCACTTTTTGTTCATGTTTAAGACAGTGCAATTAAAGTATTTGTCTAATAATTCCTGTGTCTGCGCTTCCTTGGCTCAGGGACAGTTTCTGTTCATTTCTTTCTTTTCCTTTGAATCAGCCATTTTTTTTCTTTCATTCTGTCTTTCTTTTGCATGCTTCTTAATTTTTTGTTGAAGATTGGACATTTTGAGAATTATATGTGGTAACTCTGGAAATCAGAGTCTCTCTCCTCCCCAGAATCTCTTGTTTCTTGGACAACCTTATACAGTAGGTTGTAATGATGAAACTGGGTGAATTATCTTGTCGACAAGCCCCTTGGTAATAAATTGTGGAGTCAGGATTCAAAGCCATACCCTTTCCACTCTATTCTCTACTCTATCTTTTCTATTCTCATTTTATTCAGTATCCTAAAAATCTGAATCTTACCCATTGCTTTACTCCCATTTCAATGAATCTCAGATTTGTATCTCCAGCCTCTCTTGAATGGCAGATAAATATATTTCTAACGGCTTGCAAGCACTATCACGAATTGCAAACTCAGGAAGGCTTAAGGTAAATTTACTATCTTACTCTCCTGTTTCCCCGGACTTTCCCGAAATTTTCTTCTTTCCCGCCCTTGGGAATCCCTTCAATTTCTCAGTTAAACGACAGGACCATCCACCCACCTCTCCCAAAGCCGAGGTTTGTATTAATCCTCATTGGCCAAATCCCTCCTGAAACATACAACTGGAACAAAGTCCTGAACCCTCCGGCTGAAAAGACAAACTCCACCTGAGGCCTGGTCCCACTACTCCCCACCTGAAGGGACCCAATCCTAGGCGCGTTCTGGCGACCATCCCTGCTAGGGACGCTGCGCTCTCCAGGTGCGAGCTATCACCAAACTGATAGAGTGCGCGGAACAGTGATCCCCAGACTAACACCGAACCTGGAACCGCAGTCCCCAGATTCACCCGGGACCGCAACCGCGATCCCCAAACGGACTCGGGACCCGCAACCATGATCCCCAAACTGACTGGGGACCAGCAACCGCTATTGCCAAAGCGCAGCTTTCTTTGGAGGAGCCTGTTAGACGTGATTATTTGCTTTTAGAAATTGACAAATACCAGCCTGGGCAACATGTCAAAAACCCATCTCTACTCAAAATACAAAAATATTAGCTGGGCGTGGTTGCGCGCGCCTATATCCCAGCTACTCGGAGGCAGAGGCGGGAGAATCACTTGAACCCAGGAGGCAGAGGTTGCAGTGAACCGAGATCAAGCCACTGCACTCCAGCCTGGGTGTCAGACAGAGTGAGACTTTCTCTCAAAAAAAAAAAAAAAAAAATTAACTCAAATGCGAAATATATGTGTGTATATACACACGTTCATATTCCATTTAAACACAGTTGTATATTTTTATTACCAATTGTTCAGTTTTTCTCCAGAATGTCTTAACAGAAACGCACATAATGAGTCTTTTTGAATTCAGAGAATTATATACAAAAACCCATGGTTTCACTATCACATAAGGTTAATTTTTAATTTAGAAATAAATGTTTCCATGTTCTTGAGTCACACACTTGATCTGTAACTGAAATCTGTTGTTTTTTATTAAAATGTATATTCCGTGTTGTAATAACCATAAAAGCTAGAAATGATTCTTAAGCCAACACACATGTTGCAAGCTAGGATATTCAATTTTTACGATGTGTTCAATTTACAACATGATTACAATATGTATCTTAATGCCTAATTTTCCCACAGTTTGCATGTATAACAATTCTGAATTCACTGTCATATTTACTTAAGAGACAGACCTTAAGAACTTTTTTTTTCCTACAGGATGATGATAGAAATCTTTGCAAATTGTATATTCTGTTTGAAAGTAAAGTACTCCCGGCACTTTGGGAGGCCGAGGCGGGTGGATCACGAGGTCAAGAGATCGAGACCATCCTGGTCAACGAGGTGAAACCCCGTCTCTACTAAAAATACAAAAATTAGCTGGGCATGGTGGCGCGTGCCTGTAATCCCAGCTCCTTGGGAGGGTGAGGCAGGAGAATTGCCTGAACCCAGGAGGTGGAGGTTGCGGTCAGCCGAGATCGTGCCATTGCACTCCAGTCTGGGTAACAACAGTGAAACTCCGTCTAAAAAAAAAAAAAAGAAAGTAACGTACTTATCTAGGGAGCCGAAGAAAAAGCTACAGCCTGGGTGGCAGAGTGAGACTCTGTCCCAAAAAGAAAAGAAAAGAAAAGAAAAATGGTTGAAAGTTTTTCTTTTCATTAAATCCTCAGGTATTTCCAAATCTCATAAACTGCAATATGATAAAACATTGTGCATTCAGGGAAGAGGGGTCATGGTTAGCAGAGGAAGCAGAGATTAACAGCCGGAGACAGTGAGTGAGCTACTCCAAGTTCATCAGGAGAGACTGTGACATGGCCCTTTGGAAGGCTGGGCCCCAAGAGGCAGAGGAGGCCCAGGCCAGCCCTGTCCTCTGTCTGTTCCCTGAACTGCAGGATAGTACAGTCCCACATGTCCTATGAAGCAGGATATTACTAGAGCACAGATAAATATGAAAATAGAATTTCAGACCTGCCAAATCTATTCTTGAAGGAGAAAAGTCATAGTGCACAGGATTTGCAAATGTCAGTGCTGGAGCTATATACTGGTAAACCAGGATCCTGGGGCCAGAAAGAAAGACGTGCAGTGGAGACTCATCTGTGCCGCATAGCTATTTGCTTTGTTCATTTAAAGGCTCTGCAAGCTACATTCCATCTCTTGAAGTTGAACTTGTAGGCCTGGCAGTTCAGATAATAGGATTTCACAGCTGGATGAAATCTTGAAAATAATTAAGTCTAACCTCCTTTTTTTTTTTGACACAGCCTCACTCTGTCACCCAGGCTGGAGTGCAGTAGCATGATCTCGGCTCACTGCAACCTCCGCCTCCCGAGTTCAAGCAAATCTCCTGCCTCAGCCTCCAGAGTAGCTGGTATTATAAGCAAGCACCACCACGCCTGGCTGATTTTTGTATTTTTAGTATTATCATGTAGAATATCTTTGTGCACTTATTCAGTTATTTTCTTAGTAGTGGAAAGG